TACGATAAAATACAGTATTCGCGAAATTTAATAGCCGCGAAACCGTGTTTTCGCAAAATTCGCGAAATTAAAGCTCGCGAATAATACCGGGCGTACAGTATTATTTAGTATTTAGATTTAATTATTATTCTCCAATAATCTGTATATTTGAAAAAAGAATATATTAGAAATATTAATCACAAAGACCTGCTACTATCACGTTGCACTCTCGCACGAGACCATTCAAGGCACGTTTTTAACAGGTGTCCAAGGAATTCCCGGGGATTCCCGGGACTAATTTTGATTCCATGAACCCGGGTGTGTAATTCTCCCGGTAATTCTACATAAGACTTTTGTTCTCAAGGAAGCTTACAAAAGTGATTACACATTTAGTGATTGTGACATATTCTACATAAGAACAACTCACATCAACTAAGTTTGACATATTCCACACTGGAATAACTAATTGAACACTGATATTGACATGATTGACATTGAACATCATGGACTTCTAATCAGATTAGAAGTCCATGGTTTATTATACCACAATTAATGATTTTGACATTGAATTAACTGACAGAGTGATTTCAATATGCTCAATTTTCAAATATAGAAGGGAAATAAAGATGTTGGTTCTTGTTCAACTCATGGGCTCTACCACCTGATAGAGCCCATGGGCTGTAGCAAAACTCATCAAACAACTTATTTGATCTAATCAGGCTTCATTTTTTAATTTCATTCAATAGAAATACTACTAACATTAAGACAGTAGTTTTGTCATTTTGGCAGAAACTACAATCTTGACACTCCAAAAATTCCTTCTCAAGTAGAGAGATTAATTGCCATTCTGAATTAAAGGCCCCATATAAAGTTTAAATCACTTTGGCTTACAACATATACCCAATGTTATTAAAATGTGATATGTGTCATGTGAAACATTTTTTGTTTTACTTGTTTTGGGTTTTGAAGGACTTTTTGTTCAAAGAATCGTGAATTTGTATAAAACTAGATTTTAGAGTCGCCTATATTTTAATTAGCAATACTTCACATCAATGCTTTAGCATTCATCCTCGTTGGTTTTTTGAGAAAATTAAGAAAATAGGTCAATGTCAATAAATTAGTGATAAATGAACTCATCCATTCATGAAAGTAGTTCAGAAAAAAATGCATTTTAAAATTTTAGTTCTTATAGAAACCAATGCATTTTCATCTATTAACCTAGTTAAAAGTTTATCTTTAAAGTGAAGAGAAGATAAACATAGAATCTTTTTTTAAAGTCAATGAAAAAAAGTAAATGAATGATCAAAACATATTTTGATACCAAAAAGATATCAAATGATACCAAAACTGAAGCATTTGTACAAAACTCATTATAGACCATTTGACATTTGTAATATTTCCTCTTATACTGCAATGTTAAATTTTCACCCCTCCCCCGGTAGATTTCTTTGTTTTATATTTAAAACCAACCTCAAATTTATGAGTCTAGTGAAACTTATAGTAAATTGGATGTTGGATAATATTTGGGTTAAATACTCCTTAAAATTAACCTTGTTAAAGGCAGAATCAGATCTAGGAAGAATATCATCATAATATTGACGAAAAATGTTTCAATTTTAGAATATTTGGGTTCATACCATTCCTTGTCATGACTATATTTTCTGAATATCCCTGAGTTTAAACTTAATTTGAGGAAAATGTTTTTACAATAATGCATTCATACCATTTTAGAAAATTTATTATTTGGGAGAAGTTAAACACTTCCCCAATAGAGACTTTTCCATATAGCTTTGAAATCTCATTAAAGTCTCGTTTTGAATGAGATTTTAGGAGATCTGCATTTTAACCACTAAAGACTAACATTTTCTTCTATTTGATGGCATATTTGAATTCTGTGTAATTTTCTATCAAAACAACCAACTTTGATTTGCACTGTTGTTTACCTTTATTCAAATTCTAGAAATTCTCAAGTTCTCTTAAAATTGACGGGCTAAATCCCCATTGACACAATGTTGAAAAACCTTTAAAAGTTCATTTTCTCTTATAAGGATCACAATTTCAATGTGAAATCACAATCCACGTGTCAATAATATCATAAATTTACATTACACTGGTGTTTTAAGTTGATCCAAATGGAATTACTTGTTAAATCAAGAAATGAAGTGACTTGACTACCAATACCCATGATGCCATCTATTTTTCAATTTATATGGAAAAGGGTTAATTGATAACATATCACCATGGTCTAATGAATGCCCATGATATCATGGATGTTTTTGGAGATATTAGGGAGTTTAAGCTTGCAATATTTTTCACAACCTAAACGTGAATGGGAAATATTCGATTTAATAACTTATAAACAGAACTAAAATATATAATTCTGTGCGTTTATTATTTCCTCATGAAACAACATGCTCAAACCTCAAAATCTAGTAAACAGAATAGTTTACAACACAGGCCCAGGAACATGTATGAAGAATCCACTCTGAGCCCCTCAAAAAAAATCTACTCAGGACTCCAAGATTATATTTTACAAAGTCAGTATTTAATGGATTTTTCTATACTTAAAGTGGCTTATACCATTTTATTTTTAGTGTAGCCCCAGAAAAATGTTACAATATCTCAGTGATGTGATATCAAATCAACATTATTGTATTCCTAATGTATCTCATATCTACTGTATTCGTACTTACCCACTCAGGACATTAAGATATAACAAGTGAGGTTTAGGTACAAAACAGGGGAATATAGAATTGATATCTAAGGGAATGGGACATATATAAGTCCAGCTGTGTATCTTCTGCTCCAATACTCCAAAGAAAATGTTTTTGTTCAGTGTAGAAACAAGTCATTTTTTTGTTATAATATATTGCTAAAGCAACACTGTCAAAATGAATGCAGGAGATGATAGCATTTTTTTTACCAAAATGTTGAGGATTTCTCGAAAATAAAGAGAACACCTCAAGAAAATAAACTTCGGTGTCCTGAAACTGCAATTAAAACCATCACTCATTATAGGATAAATATTTCATGTGCTACTCAGGTTTGAATATGGGGTATATCCCCCAGGAAGTATGATAACATACCTCAGACCCTCTGAAAATTTCATACTTAAACATTTTAAAAGCGATATTTAAACAAGGCACTAACATGACAAAATGACACCACCTAATTGCTCATAATATTATTAGTTCAATCTCAAGTCAGATTTGAATTTCTGAGAACTCTGTAGATGATTTTGAAAAAATAATTGGTCAATTTGAAGTTTTTTTTACCCTGAGAAGGTTGAAGGTGAAATCTCAAATCTAAAGTCAGATTTGAACTTCTGAAAACTTGTAGATGATTTGGAAAAACAATTGAAGTCAGTCTAAACAGTATTTGTTAAGTTCTTGGAAGTTTAAAGAATTTGTTACAGGCCAACCGCCTCCCCCCACCCATCGATTGCCAATCACCAACCGCCGCTACAAAAAAACAGAGACCATAACAATATGTCACCACTTCTTGGTGGTGACATAGAAAAACTGTTCAGAATCTTTGTAATTGGATACATCTGTTATTTATGGTTTTGGGTGCAGGATAATTTCATTGGAACTACAGTATATGATATCTCTAAGGATAAACACTGTATCCAAAACCCCCAGTACATAACCTTTATATTCCCAACATGTTGTGATTGGTGTAGATTAAGCATTATTACCAATGGAATATCATATTACTCCTGCACTAAATGGAATATTTTCTATCATATAAGCCCCTTTTAACATGCATATTTGTTAAGTCTAAAGCCCTGCTTATTACAGTGGTCTTCCCAGGACCTAATTCTGCTGGTTCATATTTTACCCACCCTGTCCTAAAATACCTTTTTCCCCGTATCAAAATCTGATCATGATAATCTAGTATAGTGATCGGGATGTATTCTTACCTAAAAATGCTCTATGTTTACTCCCATTTGATACTACATGATCTTATAGCTGCAAATGAGCAAAAGCCATCAAGAATTTACATGCTTTCAGAACAAAGAACAAAGAACGTCATATTGCGTCAAGTAATTACTCAGCTTATGATATTACATGATCTTATAGCTGCAAATGTGCAAAAGCCGACAAGAATTTATATGCTTTCAGATTAAAAACGTCAAATTACGTCAAGCGATTATACAACAGGATAATTACTCAGCTTATTTAGCGATTATAAATACCAAATTATTTTTACGATTCTAGAAAGTTTCCGTTAACTTGTCATGAATTTTACTTAGCGACAATAGATGACTCTGATAAATGATGCCATCTTTTTTTCCATCAGAGACACAACAATATATTGGCTACATTGATGATGTCATAGGTAGTCGTTTTTCAAAATTAGCAATAAGTTTAACTATTTTTGAATTGGCAGACTGCTTCCTATGACCAATGACATCATCAATCTACAACCAATGACATCATCAATCTACGACCAATGACATCATCAATCTACACACTATGTTATAGTTTCTCTGATGGATCAAAAGATGGCATGATTTATGGGAAACATCTATTATAAATACATGGATCCACATAAGATTTACATCTGTATGCTCTTCAAGAGGGAGTTACTAATTCTCAGTCAGGATAAGGAAACTGGGTGAGGGTGGTACAGGTGTCAAACAATTGACATGCAAAATGTCACTACATGCCATTTGTTACAAGCACTGACTGCCTAACATAGTCCATTGAAAAGTTAGAGACAAAAATAAATGTCATCACTTCTGAATATGTCACCACTTCTGATGGTGATAATTAGGATTGGGAGAATACATGAAAGGGAAACAAGTGGCGAAATTTGATAAAAAAAATCCACCTACACTGTATTAGAAAAAAATCCTGGGAAGATCATCTCTCAAGTAACCATAGAGAAAATTTTCATTGTAGCCATGTTTATTCCATAATTTTACTCTCTAAAATGGAAGATCTTCCTGCTTTGATAGCTTTTCTTTACACAGTATACTTAGTGATTATCACAACATTTTTGTAGAGAGAAAAAGTTATTGACTTTTCAGATTTTCTGAACATCTTTAAACAAAGATTTACTGCCTTTATATTTCTAAGCTCCTCAAAGAGCAATCATTCACTGATTCTTATAGATTTATGAATAGATGAATTATTCTATGAATAAAAGTCAAAATTTGGTAAATTGACATCAGTCTTTTTTCCTGGAGTTTCGATCTCCTCTCTGCTGCTCTCTGTTTGAGTTGTTAAATTTTGATTCAGTTCACTCAAGATTTTACTGATCGTTTCTTGATCTATTGGCTGGTATGTGGTTGCCGTGGTGTCTATGGAGCTCTCCTGTGGTGGAGGAGTGCTTTCAGGCAACTTAAACTGCACTTTTGATCCTGAAAATAAAGGTATATAATCATTTTTGTGATCAACACTTTCCATACTCTAATTTTTATACAAGAGTATATAAGCATTGCTGTGATCAATACTTTACTTACCCTGATTTTTATAGAAGAGTATATAAGCATTGCTGTGATCAGTACTTTACTTACCCTAACTTTTATAGAAGAGTATATAAGCATTGCTGTGATCAGTACTTTACTTACCTCAACTTTTATAGAAGAGTATATAAGCATTGCTGTGATCAATACTTTACTTACCTTAACTTTTAAAGGAGAATATATAAGCATAGCTGTGGTCAGTACTTTACTTACCTTAACTTTTATAGAAGAGTACATAAGCATTGCTGTGATCAGTACTTTACTTACCTTAACTTTTATAGAAGAGTATATAAGCATTGCTGTGATCAGTACTTTACTTACCTCAACTTTTATAGAAGAGTATATACACATTGCTGTGGTCAGTACTTTACTTACCCTAACTTTTATAGAAGAATATATAAGCATTGCTGTGATCAATACTTTACTTACCCTGATTTTTATAGAAGAGTATATAAGCATAGATGTGATCAATACTTTACTTACCCTGATTTTTATAGAAGAGTATATAAGCATTGCTGTGATCAGTACTTTACTTACCCTAACTTTTATAGAAGAGTATATAAGCATTGCTGTGGTCAGTACTTTACTTACCTTAATTTTTATAGAAGAGTATATAAGCATTGCTGTGATCAATACTTTACTTACCCTGATTTTTATAGAAGAGTATATAAGCATTGCTGTGGTCAGTACTTTACTTACCTTAATTTTTATAGAAGAGTATATAAGCATAGCTGTGATCAGTACTTTACTTACCCTGATTTTTATAGAAGAGTACATAAGCATTGCTGTGATCAGTACTTTACTTACCTTAACTTTTATAGAAGAGTATTTAAGCATTGCTGTGATCAGTACTTTACTTACCTTAACTTTTATAGAAGAGTATATAAGCATTGCTGTGATCAATACTTTACTTACCCTGATTTTTATAGAAGAGTATATAAGCATTGCTGTGATCAATACTTTACTTACCCTGATTTTTATAGAAGAGTATATAAGCATTGCTGTGATCAATACTTCACTTACCTTAACTTTTATAGAAGAGTATATAAGCATTGCTGTGATCAATACTTTACTTACCCTGATTTTTATAGAAGAGTATATAAGCATTGCTGTGATCAGTCTCCTGAGGGACCTGCTTGATGGTCTGTTCATCATTGTAGTAGAACCATTCATCTAGCAGAGGGTGTTTTGTGTATGCCGTGTAATGACCAGCATTTGCACCTAAAAATGTAGCATTCTATTAAAGGCATTCATCTAGCAGAGGGTGTTTTGTGTATGCCGTGTAATGACCAGCATTTGCACCTAAAAATGTAGCATTTTATTAAAGGCATTCATCTAGCAGAGAGTGTTTTGTGTATGCTGTGTAATGACCAGCATTTGCACCTAAAAATGCAGCATTCTATTAAAGGCATTCATCTTACAGAGAGTGTTTTGTGTATGCCGTGTAATGACCAGCATTTGCACCTAAAAATGTAGCATTCTATTAAAGGCATTCATATTACAGAGAGTGTTTTGTGTATGCCGTGTAATGACCAGCATTTGCACCTAAAAATGTAGCATTCTATTAAAGGCATTCATCTTGCAGAGAGTGTTTTGTGTATGCTGTGTAATGACCAGCATTTGCACCTAAAAATGTAGCATTTTATTAAAGGCATTCATCTAGCAGAGAGTGTTTTGTGTATGCCGTGTAATGACCAGCATTTGCACCTAAAAATGTAGCATTCTATTAAAGGCATTCATCTTGCAGAGAGTGTTTTGTGTATGCCGTGTAATGACCAGCATTTGCACCTAAAAATGTAGCATTCTATTAAAGGCATTCATCTTGCAGAGAGTGTTTTGTGTATGCTGTGTAATGACCAGCATTTGCACCTAAAAATGTAGCATTCTATTAAAGGCATTCATATTACAGAGAGTGTTTTGTGTATGCCGTGTAATGACCAGCATTTGCACCTAAAAATGTAGCATTCTATTTAAGGCATTCATTTTGCAGAGTGTTTTGTGTATGCCGTGTAATGACCAGCATTTGCACCTAAAAATGTAGCATTCTATTAAAGGCATTCATCTTGCAGAGAGTGTCTTGTGTATGCTGTGTAATGACCAGCATTTGCACCTAAAAATGCAGCATTCTATTAAAGGCATTCATCTTGCAGAGAGTGTTTTGTGTATGCTGTATAATGACCAGCATTTGCACCTAAAAATGTAGCATTCTATTAAAGGCATTCATATTACAGAGAGTGTTTTGTGTATGCCGTGTAATGACCAGCATTTGCACCTAAAAATGTAGCATTCTATTAAAGGCATTCATATTACAGAGAGTGTTTTGTGTATGCCGTGTAATGACCAGCATTTGCACCTAAAAATGTAGCATTCTATTAAAGGCATTCATCTTGCAGAGAGTGTTTTGTGTATGCTGTGTAATGACCAGCACTTGCACCTAAAAATGTAGCATTCTATTAAAGGCATTCATCTTGCAGAGAGTGTTTTGTGTATGCCGTGTAATGACCAGCATTTGCACCTAAAAATGTAGCATTCTATTTAAGGCATTCATATTACAGAGAGTGTTTTGTGTAACCGTGTAATGACCAGCATTTGCACCTAAAATATAGCATTCTATTAAAGGCATTCATATTACAGAGAGTGTTTTGTGTAACCGTGTAATGACCAGCATTTGCACCTAAAAATGTAGCATTCTATTTAAAGCATTCATATTACAGAGAGTGTTTTGTGTAACAGTGTAATGACCAGCATTTGCACCTAAAAATGTAGCATTCTATTAAAGGCATTCATCTTGCAGAGAGTGTTTTGTGTATGCTGTGTAATGACCAGCATTTGCACCTAAAAATGTAGCATTCTATTAAAGGCATTCATCTTGCAGAGAGTGTTTTGTGTATGCCGTGTAATGACCAGCATTTGCACCTAAAAATGTAGCATTCTATTAAAGGCATTCATCTTGCAGAGAGTGTTTTGTGTATGCTGTGTAATGACCAGCATTTGCACCTAAAAATGTAGCATTCTATTAAAGGCATTCATCTTGCAGAGAGTGTTTTGTGTATGCTGTGTAATGACCAGCATTTGCACCTAAAAATGTAGCATTCTATTAAAGGCATTCATCTTGCAGAGAGTGTTTTGTGTATGCTGTGTAATGACCAGCATTTGCACCTAAAAATGTAGCATTCTATTAAAGGCATTCATCTTGCAGAGAGTGTCTTGTGTATGCTGTGTAATGACCAGCATTTGCACCTAAAAATGTAGCATTCTATTAAAGGCATTTATCTTGCAGAGAGTGTTTTGTGTAACAGTGTAATGTCTAGCATTTGCACCTAAAACATGGCATTCTGTTAAAGGCATCCGTTCATTCATGCCACACCAAATGTTTCTAACAGCTTCCATCTGCATAAGTTGAGCAAGGAATAAAGTAAACAGAAATGTAGCTAACACTCTCAATTGTATAAAATTGCCAAGAAATCAGGTAGTTCATTCAAATTTTAGAGAGAAAAAGCGTGAAATATGCATGAACAGATGGAGATTTTCCAAAAATCAGGTAGTCAGATCATTCAAATTAGAGAGCGACTCCACGACAACAAAGTCTGTTTTTCCGAGAAAAACTCCTAGATTCTTAAGCATGATACTGAAAATATGTAACTTCAATTAATCTATTTATCAAGTAACATGTGTTATGTGATGCTTTTATAACTAGGAGTTATACAAACTAAGCGTGACAAAATGTCACAACAACCACTTGTTGGAAATGACAAAAGTGAACTCATTTTTTCTATACAAGTGTTGAACACTAAATACCAACCAGAGGGCCTAATTCACACATACTGTTGTATAAGATGTATTTAATCTGAGTGGTTAATTTGGTGAATGTTCAAATTTTATCATTTTCCTTATTCTAATTTTCCCCTACAAGAAACTTCCCATTGGATAACATTATATTTTGATAACATTTCCAACATATAATTTTCCGAACCTGGCAAAAATTAGGCAATAGGCAAATCAAATGATTAGGCAAAATTAGCAATTAACTTAAACCACTTAAACAATATGTTAAATACCAAGATGATAACAATATAGTTTTTTAATATGATAAACATGTTCTGGTGTCTCACTCTAGATCTTAACATCTAAACATGTGCACAATGTTTCATAACCTGAGTTGACATGTGATCAGAACAACTGGCTTGTTAAGGTACAGTGAGATCTGTATATATTTCAACACCACTCTATTCTTAACATGTCTCAATGTGAACATTTTTTTAATCTGCAAGGGACATGAACATTGTAAAAAACCTTGAAATGTGAACAACTGCCAGTCTAAACACTTTTCAATGGGAACACATATCTGCAAGAGACTTCCATCTTTTCCATGTAAAAAACCTTGAAATGTGAACAACTGCCAATCTTAACACTTTTCAATGGGAACTCATATCTGCAAGGGACTTCCATGATAAAAACCTAGAAATGTGAACAACTGCCAATCTTAACACTTTTCAATGGGAACTCATATCTGCAAGGGACTTCCATGTTAAAAACCTAGAAATGTGAACAACTGCCAATCTAAACACTTTTCAATGGGAACTCATATCTGCAAGGGACTTCCATGTTAAAAACTTAGAAATGTGAACAACTGCCAATCTAAACACTTTTCAATGGGAACTCATATCTGCAAGGGACTACCATGTTAAAAACCTAGAAATGTGAACAACTGCCAATCTAAACACTTTTCAATGGGAAATCATATCTGCAAGGGACTTCCATGTTAAAAACCTTGAAATGTGAAAAACTGCCAATCTTAACACTTCTGGGCCAGTACAAGTAGCATTCAGACTTGACAGGTTTTACTGTAGAAATATAATGAGGTAACTGTCCCATTTATTACACTTACGCAACATTACCACGTGTTTCTACACAATGTTTCATAAGCTGATTTGACACGTGTTTAGAGTAACAACAAAAATTCATGTAATTCATCCCAATAATTTAACATACATGTACAGGTCATAGCCAGCTTTTGCCAAGGAGTTCACTTTTCAAAATATTCCAGCGGGTTCTCATTTGACAACTTTGGCCTAACATCACTTGAACTGTGGACAGTGCTCGGCTAAAGGCCTGATGTAGATTAGAATAGATAGCATAGAATAAAGTGAACAGCAACACTTTCCTTGACTTGGGCTATGGCAGTAGGAGGGGAGGGGGTACAGAGTATAGAATAAAGCGAACAGGGGGAGGAGGCACAGAGTATAGAATAAATTGAACAGCAACGCTCTACCTTGACCTTGGCTATGGCAGTAGGATAGGGGGTACAGAGAATAGAATAAAGCGAACAGGGGGAGGAGGTACAGAGCATAGAATAAATTGAACAGCAACACTCTACCTTGACCTTGGCTATGGCGGTAGGATAGGGGGTACAGAGAATAGAATAAAGTGAACAGGGGGAGGAGGTACAGAGCATAGAATAAAGTGAACAGCAACACTTTCCATTGACTTGGGCTATGGCGGTAGGAGGGGGGTACAGAGTATAGAATAAAGCGAACAGCAACACTTTCCATTGACTTGGGCTATGGCGGTAAAAGGGGGGGGTACAGAGCATAGAATAAAGCGAGCAGGGGGGGGTGTTTCCTTGACTTGGGCTATGGCGGTAAGATAGGGGGTACAGAGCATAGAATAAATTGAACAGCAACACTCTTCCTTGACTTGGGCTATGGCGGTGAGATAGGGGGGTACAGAGTATAGAATAAATCGAACAGGGGGAGGGGGTACGGAGCACAGAATAAATTGAACAGCAACACTTTTCCTTGACTTGGGCTATGGCGGTAGGAGGGGGGGTACAGAGCATAGAATAAAGCGATCAGGGGGGGGTGTACAGAGCACAGAATAAAGCGAACAGTGGGGATGTAAAGAGCATAGAATAAATTGAACAGCAACACTCTTCCTTAACCTTGGCTATGGCGGTAGGATAGGGGGTACAGATCATAGAATAAAGCGAACAGGGGGAGAGGGTGTACAGATCATAGAATAAAGTGAACAGCAACACTCTTCCTTGAACTTGGCTATGGCGGGGGAGGGGGTAAAGAGCATAGAATAAAGTGAACAGGGGGGGGGGGTGTACAGAGCATAGAATAAATTGAACAGCAAAACTCTACCTTGCCCTTGGCTATTGCGGTAGGATAGGGGGGTACAGAGTATAGAATAAAGCGAACAGGGGAGGGGGTGTACAGAGCACAGAATAAATTGAACAGCAACACTCTTCCTTGACCTTGGCTATGGCAGTAGGATAGGGGGTACAGAGTATAGAATAAAGCGAACAGGGGAGGGGGTGTACAGAGCACAGAATAAAGTGAACAGCAACACTCTTCCTTGAACTTGGCTATGGCGGGGGAGGGGGTAAAGAGCATAGAATAAAGTGAACATGGGGGGGGTGTACAGAGCATAGAATAAATTGAACAGCAAAACTCTACCTTGCCCTTGGCTATTGCGGTAGGATAGGGGGGTACAGAGTATAGAATAAAGCGAACAGGGGAGGGGGTGTACAGAGCATAGAATAAAGCGAACAGGGGGAGAGGGTGTACAGATCATAGAATAAAGTGAACAGCAACACTCTTCCTTGAACTTGGCTATGGCGGGGGAGGGGGTACAGAGCATAGAATAAAGCGAGCAGGGGGGGGTGTACAGAGCATAGAATAAATTGAACAGCAAAACTCTACCTTGACCTTGGCTATGGCGGTAGGATAGGGGGGTACAGAGTATAGAATAAAGCGAACAGGGGAGGGGGTGTACAGAGCACAGAATAAATTGAACAGCAACACTCTTCCTTGACCTTGGCTATGGCAGTAGGATAGGGGGTACAGAGTATAGAATAAAGCGAACAGGGGGAGGGGGTACAGAGTAAAGAATAAAGCGAACAGGGGGGTTAGGTGTACAGAGCATAGAATAAATTGAACAGCAACACTCTTCATTAACCCCCATTGGGTATATGTGTACAAAATATGAACAAAATCGGGCCAACGGTATTTGAATTATTGCTCCGGACTTCGTTCAATGGGATAATAAAGCGAACAGGGGGAGTATCCCCACAGAGCACAGAATAAACCGAACACTCATGCAGTCAACACTCTCCATTGACATGAGCTATGCAGGTATTTTTCATGATGTAATTTTTGTAAATAGTTTTATGGATAAATAAAAAATGAATACCATCCCTTAATGAAAATTCATTGCAACATAAATTGGTGTCCTACCTCCAAAATGGCAAACACAAGCATGGAGATCGTATGTGAGTTCAGAGATTTTAGGTCCAGAGATATATGGAGACAAATCCAGGTCTTCAATAGGAAAAACTACAGCATTGTCTATCTTTGCACTTGAGAGTTCGTGGAACACAAATCTGCATACAGAAAGCATGGGATGTATTAAAATTGAATTTGAGTTATTTGCAAATTCTGAAATTTTGGCTCAAAGAGACATGATTACAAACATTGCTACATTGTTTTTTGGAAATTTTGGATTTGATTTTGTTTTAATTATGTTTTATGTGTAGGGCCTATATAGGCCTAGCTTGTATTTTATTCTTATATTCCAGATTAAAAAAATTCACTTCATGCTCACTTTCACCTAACTTTTCAATATACCAATTCACATTTTGAGAAATATTTCACATTTATTCACATTTCTGAATTTCATTGATTCACATTTTCTTACCTCTTCAAGTAGACAACCAGATACTCTGGGTAAGTCCAGACACTCATGGTTTTATTAGCGCACTGATTGGACTCACACTTAGGACAATACCAGGGGTTACCCTCATCTAGGATCTCACTGAAAGCAAATTAAGCATATATATGAGCACAAAAATTGATGACATCACAACACAGAATAACAATAATGACATCATCTGTACTGGGGTTCCTCTCATGTCTATAAATAGCATTTAGAGCTCACTAATTTTCAACTTCACAAAAATTGATGACATCACAGCACAGAATAACAATAATGACATCATCTACACTGGGGTTCCTCTCATGTCTATAAATAGCATTTAGAGCTCACTAATTTTCAACTTCACAAAATAATGAGGACAAAATCACAAAGTTTACAAAAATTGGGACATGTATTTTGACAAATGGTTCGGGTCAAAGTTGTCAAGAGTGAACTCCCTTGAATTTTTAAAAGTGAACTCTCCTTGGCAAAAGCTTGCTATGGGCCTGCTCATTTCTATAGATATACTACGACTCACCTCTGTGTAAATGCCTTGAAACAATCATACAATGTAAGCGGATCCTTGGATCGTTCTTCTTCCATAGACGTGTGTTTCAAAGTCTCATTTAAGATAGACAGCTGGGCTGAGGAAATCGTATTGATTTTAATGGCGAGGTGATCATTAGGCGCGAGTGTAATATCTTCGCTGTCCCGATCTATTGAACATCCAGCACAGTGTACTGTGAAAGAGCATCTTGAGCAATGTGTACCCTGAAAGTTCAATACATTGAGCAATGTGTACCCTGAAAGTTCAATACATTGAGCAGTGTGTACCCTGAAAGTTCAATACATTGAGCAATGTGTACCCTGAAAGTTCAATACATTGATCAATGTGTACCCTGAAAGTTCAATACATTGAGCAATGTGTACCCTGAAAGTTCAATACATTGAGCAATGTGTACCCTGAAAATTTAATACATTGAGCAATGTGTACCCTGAAAGTTCAATACATTGAGCAATGTGTACCCTGAAAGTTCAATACATTGATCAATGTGTACCCTGAAAGTTCAATACATTGATCAATGTGTACCCTGAAAGTTCAATACATTGAGCAATGTGTGCCCTGAAAATTCAATACATTGAGCAATGTGTACCCTGAAAATTCAATACATTGAGCAATGTGTACCCTGAAAGTTCAATACATTGAGCAATGTGTACCCTGAAAGTTCAATACATTGATCAATGTGTACCCTGAAAGTTCAATACATTGAGCAATGTGTACCCTGAAAATTCAATACACTGAGCAATGTGTACCCTGAAAATTCAATACATTGAGCAATGTGTACCCTGAAAGTTCAATACATTGATCAATGTGTACCCTGAAAGTTCAATACATTGAGCAATAATGTACAACCTTGAGGAATGTATACCTTCTGAAGTATATTTCTTGAGCAAGGGCCCATTCATAAATAAATTGATCGGATTAATTGGATTACACTTTAAATTATTGAATTTTTAGAAATCGTCTTGGAAACTGTATAAAAAATATCAATTAATTAAATTTCTTCATATTTGATTAAGCAAATTCTTCCCTTCCATGAAATTAAAATGAATTGAAAAAATTAGTTAATCACAAAAATCATTTTACCTGTCCATCCGTAAGCAAGAGTTGATATTTACAGTCAATCAGCATCAAGGGGTCAACAAGTTCATATAAGAGCTCTCCTTTTATTGTGCTGGGGAGGTACAAAATGTTGGGGTGACCCACTAGCCTCACTATCGTTTTACCAGCCTCATCTTCATAATCATGACGAAAAACCAATGGCACTGAGAGCAACCTTTGAAATCAAAATATAATTTTTGAAGTAACTTTTTAAATAAATTAAAAATCAACAAAAACTCCACTAGCAACTCACAGTCAACAAACAATGATTAAGCCATAATATTAGTTCTCAGAAATCTGAAGGATCACACATTTGACATTTGCTTGGGCTTTGATTTACATATAATGAATACATAATTCTGTGTTTTGAAATGCTTTATGATCTTTACAGTTTACACTTCAGTGATCTCACCAGGAAATATTTAGGGTGTGGTGCTAACATCTTCAGAATAACCGTTCAATCGTGATAAATCATATTTATGTCACATTTAACCTTTTTACATGTTCTTATTGTATACGTATCCAGTCAAGTTTAGGAAAAAAGAATTGGATCCGTCCAACTAGGTATTTTTAATCTCCAAAAATTTGTTCAGTGCTAATTTCTATGGCAAAGTTCGCACGAATGAACTGCAAAGGGAATGGCTGATATTCTTGCGACCTCGACCAATATCAAAGACAAACAATGAAAAAGTTATTTTCTGACATTACAAGTTATAACTGGCTATAAATTCATAATCAGCGACAAAAAATATTCAAACTAATATCTTGATCACTTCTTCTGTGTTTTGACATCTTTTAGAAATAAGACCAAAACTGAGTTTGTTATGGAAATCAATTGTCTTACCGCGTTTTAGGTTTAAAATTTTCCACACTACTTAAAGTAACGAAGTCTTCAGCAGGATGTACCGGGCTTAGGCATACAGGACAGTTGAATGCTGCTTCTCCGTAATGTTTGAAGGACATCTAAAATCAGAATTTAAAGTACATGTGAAACAGTTGAATGCTGCTTTTCCAAAATGTTTGAAGGACATCTAAAATCAGAATTTAAAGTACATGTGAAACAGTTGAATGTTGCTTTTCCATAGTGTTTAAAAAATACATCTAAAATCAGAATTTAAAGTAAAGTAAAATCTTTAAGTGGATCACTTTTGAAAGAACCTTACAGTGTCCATTAACATTACATAAAATGAACCTCTGTGGAACACCTCTCTCTCAAATTTAATATTGTTTTGTGGTATCACATGCATCCCACTTACACAGATTTTAATGGACATGTGAACCTCATTTCCTACATTTACTTAATGACCCTAAAAGTAACTGTATTGGGAGTATGACTTAAATATCAGCTACTATGAAGAAATGAAATTCTTCAGACTACATTTCTGATTGGGAAGCTCAATTTTGATCAACTTAATTTGATTGGGTAAAGCAAGATAAAAGATATTCTTTTATTCAAAACATTTAGATACAGCAAAATATTGAAAAGTGAATATGCATTGGTTCTCATGGTCCTACCTCCAAACAAGAATTGCAGAGTTTTCCACTGCACACTGTGTGAACCAACAGCTCTGAATCTTGTAACTCCTCTAGGCAGATAGCGCAGCTGTTCCATTGTGATGTCACAATAGCCTCATTCTGAATCCCTGTGGCAGCCTCACTCTGAGTTTTTGGCTCATGTTTCTCATCAGAATCCATCTCCATTCTTGGTAGTACTTGATCATCTCCTTCGCTACATAATAACCAATCAGCGACATCAGAGCGTGACGAAAACTCAGCGTTTTGTTGCCAATGAGATGTCCCAGTGATGTCTGGTTGAGGGGCATCCACATCGCCCCAGCGACCATTTAAGTCATCAATGTCAATATTTACAGATGTATCAGTCCATTCAGCATTAGGACTGCCCTGCTGCATATCGTCAACATCAAATGTTCCAATAGGTGAATAATTTTCATTACCCTTTGTATCGTTTATTTGATTTAGGCTTGCCTCTGTGATGTTGTCAATAACATCAAAATCATTCACCTTTTCGTGTTTTTCCCCATCAGGGGCATTATTCATGAGATTATTGCAACTAGAGCTCATTAGTGAACTGGATCCACCATATTTGTCAGAATTAGTGATGTCATCATTCTGTGTTGTGATGTCATCAAGTTTCGTGATGTCATCATCAGGAAGATGGTAGGGGGTCATCTCAAAGGCATATATGGACCTGTTGTAATCATTGACATATCGCAACATAGTGCTGTCTTCCTATTGTTCAAATAAAGATAAATAGCAATTTTTATGTATAAAACAACAAGCAATGATCCCCACAGGACTTTTTCTCAACTGGATGCAAATTTTTAATTTTCACACATCAGACAAAAATTGGTCAAATTATGTCTATTTTTCATGATTTTTCTCATTTTCAAGTGGGTGTAAACGAATTCTCAGGTGGGTGCAAGCCTAATATCAAAATCTCAGGTGGGTGCTGCGCCCACTTGCTTTAATGCTGGGGAGATCACTGACAAGGCATTAGTTTTGCATGTCACAGCCTTGTTGTAATTTCAAAAGTGAAACCTTTTGTTACAGAACTGACAATCAGCACTGAATCCTCCAAAATGATGGTTAAAACAACATGCAACCACTTTATGATGGTGACATTAAAATGAAGAACACCTTCGAAATTCTCTTTTTGGAATTAGAACCATCAAATTAAGCCTAATGTAAAACTTATTGGCAAAGATATATTTAGGGGAAAACAAGTTTTATGTTAATAGTGGCATTTAGCCTTCCCCAAATAACAAAATTACTTCAAGACAAAAATGAAACACATTTATTTTAACTCCACATCAGAGTGGAATGAATTCTTGTTTAGTTTCGATTGCTTTAACTTTTTAATACTTCTGTTTTTCTATTTTTAAATTTTCCTGATATAAGTGTAAGATTATGATTACCAGAATTCTTGCAATATGGTTCTCAAAAACTTCCGCAATTTTTAGGTCGCCAGTTTCATCCCCAATTAGCTGGGCTATCTGCTGTCTTAGTTGTAATACTTTGTCAAACTTGTGTAATGTAACAAGATATTTCATTGGCTGCTTTTGGTCACATGGCACAAATGTCACAACTGAAAAATAATGTAACAAGATATTTTATTGGCTGTTTTTTGGTCATATATTACAAATATCACAAATGAAAATCTGTAACCAGGTATGTGATTGGCAGCTTTTGGTCACATGGCACAAATGTCATAATTGAAAAGTAATATAACAAGGCCACATGGCAAAAGCAAAAAATATCATAACCGAAAAATAATGTTACAAGGTATTTCATTGGCTGGTTTTGTTCTCTGATGGATCTCCTGATATCATCTACTGAAAGTTGTTAAGTAACATTTACTCTTCAATATTATTTCATTATTCAAAAAACATAGGAAGTGGCTTTAATATATACATGTACCAAAATTGAACTCGATGTTCATACATATATTGCAAAGTTGTAAAACAATAACTAAACTTTAATTTATATTGTTTCCTATCTGACGTTCCATGGCATGTGGCAATGGCACACTGAGGTACATGTACATACACATATTGCAAAGTTGTAAAACAATAACTAAACTTTAAGTTATATTGTTACCTATCTGACGCTCCATGGCATGTGGCAATGGCACACTGAGGTACATGTTCATACACATATTGCAAAGTTGTAAGACAATAACTAAATTATAAGTTATATTGTTACCTATCTGACGCTCCATGGCATGGGGCAATGGCACACTGAGGTACATGTACATACACATATTGCAAAGTTGTAAAACAATAACTAAACTATAAGTTATATTGTTACCTATCTGCCGCTCCATGGCATGGGGCAATGGCACACTGAGGTACATGTACATACACATATTGCAAAGTTGTAAAACAATAACTAAACTATAAGTTATATTGTTACCTATCTGACGCTCCATGGCATGGGGCAATGGCACACTGAGGTACATGTACATACACATATTGCAAAGTTGTAAAACAATAACTAAACTATAAGTTATATTGTTACCTATCTGACGCTCCATGGCATTGGGCAATGGCACACTTAGGTACATACATATACATGTATTGCAAAGTTGTAAAGCAATAACTAAACTATAAGTTATATTGTTACCTATCTGCCGCTCCATGGCATGGGGCAATGGCACACTGAGGTACATGTACATACACATATTGCAAAGTTGTAAAACAATAACTAAACTATAAGTTATATTGTTACCTATCTGCCGCTCCATGGCATGGGGCAATGGCACACTGAGGTACATGTACATACACATATTGCAAAGTTGTAAAGCAATAACTAAACTATAAGTTATATTGTTACCTATCTGCCGCTCCATGGCATGAGGCAATGGCACACTGAGGTACATGTACATACACATATTGCAAAGTTGTAAAACAATAACTAAACTTTAAGTTATATTGTTACCTATCTGACGCTCCATGGCATGGGGCAATGGCACACTGAGGTACATAAAAGGCTCGTATGTAACTGAAACATAGCGGCACTCTAAGCATACAACCTGAAATGAATGTAAATAAAGAATATATACTCCACTCTAAGCATACAACCTGAAATGAATGTAAATAAAGAATATATACTCCACTCTAAGCATACAACCTGAAATGAATGTAAATAAAGAATATATACTCCACTCTAAGCATACAACCTGAAATGAATGTAAATAAAGAAAATATACTCCACTCTAAGCATACAACCTGAAATGAATGTAAATAAAGAATATATACTGCACTCTAAGCATACAACCTGAAATGAATGTAAATAAAGAATATATACTGCACTCTAAGCATACAACCTGAAATGAATGTAAATAAAGAATATATAATGTAGAAGCATTTAAAGGAATGAGTAAAGCAAATGGGTGTTGCAACTTGGCTAAGCCGACTGGGTGAGGCAAGTGGATGAAACAATTAGGTGAGAACTTGAAAATTACTTTACACCCAGTGGAGTTCATGATTTGAATTTTGAAACAGATGGAAAAACTCCCAAAACTACATGACGCCATCACTCTCTGAAAAATCACATTAGTAAATACTGATTGGTTCTTTAAATATTTTGAATGTTCAGCATTTTTATGGTCTTTATTCAAAGAGATTTGAAAACATTCACTCACGGTACTTTTAAACTGCCCTTGAAATTTATCAACTATGGCACTTTTGTTGGATTCTAAATATTTATCCCATGCTTTCTTCGCATCGATGATGTCATCTGTAGTTGGTCCCTGTGTACACAATATGTGATCCCCAGTATCTGGGGATTCCATTTCAATGTCCATGGATTCTCCATACTGATTTGGATTTCTGATATTTTCATGATCTCCACTTGACATTTCATTCTTCTTGAACTGCAATGTGTGAGCCCCATGCATTGGGGTCTCCATATTCTGAAGCAGGGTGTTCCCTTTCAGGTTGTTTTCCTTTTCTTCATACGACATCCCTTTAGTGAGATTTAATTTTTCTATGTTACTCACATTTTCTGTTTTATCAATTTTCAAACGTTTTATATTGTTATAGCTCATACATGGATCGTTACTCCCAAAACTCTGCGAAAGTGATTTTTTGAGATAACAATCACCGACAATCTTGTCCCGTTGATTGGCTAGCAAGTTCACTTCCTTAAATCGTTTACTCGTTTCTCCTTTAACATCTAATTCCTCTGTGATTTCTGCAACTTCAATATCAACGTCCTCCAAATTCCGAGACGTGTTATCCTGTTTTGTAAATTTATCGCTGTCAGTTTTAATCTGTTCTTCATCGGAAAGATCATCAACGAGCATATTTACATTTTTCGTTTTTGTCTCTTTCATGTAAAATTCCTCAATACCTGACAGGTGGATCCCTCTAGGGGCATTATTTGACATTATGTTTTTGTCAGGTTTAACGGGAGAAAGTGGATCTTTTTTGTTATTTGCAAGTTCATCAGGCGTGCATTTTAGTTTCATAGACTGCTCACAGGGGGAGTTACTTGCACTGCGTGAATTTTCCATTGAATTCTCACTTTGGGTGCCTGTAATAGAAAATAAATAAATGCAAAAATCTCAATGAACAACTGAAGAAAATGGTTGCCTTGAAAGTTTAGCATTAAATTCTTGTTGCATTGAGAAGACTTTTTGAAATTGGAACTCTTTCCATAAAAGGTTTACATTCAGACTTATTGATTTGTTTCGTCCAAACAATTAATTGGCTGAGTTTTTAAGTTCAATTTTCATCTGTACCATCCGCTTAGAGATTGTTCTCCAATAATGCTTAAAATGAGTATAAAAGTACTAACCGAAGGACCTCATCTGCTCAGGCAAAGGTTCCATCCTTAGAGATTGTCCTCCCTCAATGCTTGAAAAATCTGAGTTGTCAGAGATTGGTGAATTTGCAGACAAATTACTGTCCTCAGTGATTAGAATAGCAGGGGTCATATTCTTTGATGCTGAATTTTGTGAGCTCCCTGATTGATCAATTACACTGTAGTTATCAGCAGTTTGTTGTGTTTCTTCTTCTGATTGGTCAATGGCCAGAGGGGTGGTGGTCTTTGATTGGTTGACTGAGTTGAGCTCTTCATGGAAATGGTCCAACAGCAAGGCTAAGAACTCTTGACAGTCATGCTATAAAGAAATAAAGAACATATCTTTGTACAGGTAAGGAAAAGGAGGAAAGGCTCCCAGCAGTCCTTGCTGATTCTCTGACATCATGACCTTGTGGTCATGTGATTCACATGAGACAGCTTACAAAATGGCGTAAAGGACCAATTTGGTAATAACATTACCATAACCTGAGGTTACCTGTATCCAATTACCTAAATGCGAGTAGGTAGTTACCAGTTTCACCACCAGGTGGCTGATTCGGGTCAATTAACATGGCAGGTATATAAGAAAGTTCCCTTAAACTTGAATATTATCAATTTAAGTGGCTCAATTTTCATATAACCCTTATGCGTCTGATACTTATACTAATGAAAATATGTCCAGTAAAGCAAAATATTATCTGTCCACTAAAAGAAAAGATATTTCATTTTTTGTGATTATATAGCATTGGGTCTATGGGGAATCTCCCCGAGCTAGAAGTCACATTTTTTTTCAATTCAATTCAATTTGAAGTCACATTTTCAAAGAAAATTAATTTTTCAAAGTTGATAAACACTTTTTAAAACCACATTTCTAGATGTAATTTTACATGTAGATTTCAAATATGATATTACTTTGACTGACGTAAATCAAGATTATTTCTACTCGCATCTGGGTTATTGAAAATCAATTTGGAAATGCATACAACATTATGACATTTCTTAGTTTTTAAAATTTCTAAGTCAGAATAAGTAAAATTTGAACTGTGCACCAAAATGAGAATAATCATTAAGAGAACCCTATAACTATCTATATAGGGGGTAAATATATTATAGAATTCAAGACTCCTTCCTACACGATGGATGTGAGCAAAATTTTTAATAATACTTTAATGCTCTTATGACAAAACCAGAGTGTTGCACAATGTACATGCTCATGATAAGGTATATAATTTGAGCTAATTTAATTGTTTCAAAAAGAAGGTGGAGACATTTAAGACCCTCCCTGTACAAAGGGAAGAGAAGATAGGGTGGGGGAAATTTGACGACATGTTTCAGTCCATCACTCACCTGTCTAAAATCATTGAACTGAGGATAAAGCCATCCGAGGATCTTTTTAAACTCATCCGGGTAAATACTGGAGTAATGCCCGCTCCAAACTTTCCCCAGGATTCTAACAAACTGGTCCATTATGGTGATCTTCTGCTCACTGTCATCTTTGATTGTGTCAAAAAAGTGTTGCATAAAGATTGGGTTACTTAATACACATTGGAGACCTGAAATTGAACACTGTGTTTATGAAACCTAAATTATTATTTATATGAGGTATTTTAAAAAGTTCAGTGTCTCAATCATATACACCAAAATGAAATCTAGAAAATCGAATGGCATGAAAAATTGAAGAAATCATATAGTTTGATACAGATATGTTAAAAACAAAAGCAAATTAAGATTTAAGCAAGTATTGCCAATGTTGCTATTTTATTGACTCACATAACTCACTTACATTCACATAACTCACTTACATTCACATAACTCACATTACATTCACATAACTCACTTACATTCACATTACTCACTTACATTCACATAACTCACTTACATTCATGATCCATGAAACCAGAGGCTTTCTAGAGAGCCCATGATGAAACGTGTTGTCAAGGTTACTGTTTTATAATGCATTCATGATACATTTGTATTCATAAAATCAATGTTGCAATGTTTATGAATTTCTCACCTGCATTCATGAAACAAGTGTTGCCAAGGTTACGAAGGCCACAGACCCCTCTCTGTGCCTTGACATCTACAGTATCTCTGTTAACAACTGACAAAGGCCCTGGTAATTGTGGCCCTTGCAACGGCCCTGGTAATTGAGGTCCAAACACAACATCATTGACAGGACTCGTACAATGCACTGCAAATAGAGGCAGCAGAAATACATATTGTTGTACTTCAAATTCATTTTGGCAAAGTTTTATTACGGTATATAATTTTTTTTCTCATTGCACTGGGTGCAGGTTTACTTTAAAGATTCTAAGTAGGTGCAATGGAAGATCTCTTTATATATTCGTAACTTCATCTAGTTTTCCTTACCTGTCTCCACAGCCTCGATTTTAGAAAGCTGGGCTAGACCAATCAGCTCATCAGATTCTTGCGAGTCGAGATCCGCCATACTGTTACAAGTCCTTCAGAAATTAAAACAAGTCAAATTCTATCATAGCAATTGAAAAACTATCCTAAATAAATGCTTCAAGAATAACATAACAGCATGAATGATTTCACTATAGCCCTAGGTAAGTCTTACTGCAAGCACAGAGAAGCGATTACTCTTTTTCGCGACCTACCTAATTTGAAGAGCCAATGTTTTTCACGTTCATAGATGTAAGGTCTAGAAATTAGCCTAAGTATATTAATTGTTATATGGGGTACTTCTGTTTTAAAATCTATACAACGCAGTTTAGATTTTAAACAATGAGTGAGCAAAAGAAAATTACACAAGACCTGTCAAATGTAGTAGTTTCAGTCTACTCAACTGTTATTATACACTTGAAACGTGATACTGATAGTCTGCCTTGTTATCCGTTTCATGGAAACCTATTTATCCTCCAGCAACGTGATGCGTTTGGTTCAAAACTGAATATAATATAATAATTCAAAAAAGAAAATGAAAGTGAATTTTTTCCAGAAATTTTTCCCAAAAAATGTCCGAAGAATAGCGTGTTATTTGATATGTATGGGTTCTTCAAAGTAATCGTCCTGAAAATATTCAAGCTTTGATTATAATCTCTAAATTCCAGCAATATGTAATCCTTTAGACTCACCAGATTGGAAGGAATCTTGATATAAAAGTGACAATTTCGCTCGAAGACCAGACTTCCTTCAGAAAATTTACTGCTCATGCGCAGTGGAAAGGTTATCTTATTTCGTCCAGTGTAGCGTATAACTCCCGGGAATAGTCTTATTCTCATTTATTTTCAGGGCTACTGAAATGAACATTCTCATCCAAGAAACTCTGATAGACACTATAATACCTACCCACAAATTGAGATATATCTTGCAATTCACTAGACTTGTGGCATTGGTTGTGACCTCTGTTGTGTCCAGTATTGTGCAGTTGTTAGAGAAAGCTCTTTGCTTCTATAGATCATGGACTTCTAATCATTTGAAGTCCATGTATAGATCAATCATGGGCTTTCTCTTGAAGCCTATTATTCCAAATGTACATGGTCAGATGGTAGTCCTAACCCCAATATACACCAATGAGGCAAAATCCCACTTGCCCCATCAAGTCCGACCTTGGCCCATAGAATCCCAAGTTACTTGGCCCATCGGGATTTGATGGCATAAAATCCCACTGGACCCCACATGGGACTCAATGGGGCAAAGCCCGATGGAGTCCCACAGAGTCCATGAGGTAAAATCCCATGAAGTTCCATGCCAAGGTCTATGGAGGTCCCACTGTGCCCCATCAGTGTATATTTGGCTTTAGGGTTTCCAGAAGCTAGACAATCAAATTGCGCACATGGATGGTCAATGTCAGTGCATCACAAGACTTAAAAATTGTTTCACTTACGAGTCGTTCTACTTATACGGGTGTTCCCTGGCCCTTGGACAGTTTTTTCTGAATCATCAAACAGTCAATTCTTGCATTGAGCCCCTGCTTAATTTTGGAAATATGTTAGCACATTGTATTTGCAGTATTAAACCACCAATGGCCAAATACTGAATTGTACTGTAACTCTGTCCTCTGTTCTGTACTTTCCACAAGTCTTGAAGTCAATTGTGCATTAGGCTTGATTTCTCTTAAAGAATTGGACAGAGTTTACAACATGGCCCTTTGACTAAATATGGTGCAAAATTCCTTATATGGTGCAAAATTCCTTATATGGAGATTTTGGCATACAACTCATAATTAGCAAAAACAAACAAAATGTATTGATTTAGTTTTGCACGTTGTGCATTGTTTAATTCCATCACTATATACTGTACATAATTTAACACGGCATTGACATCTAAAAGATACATTCATATTTCAAGCTTCAAGGTTGTGTAGTTCAGAATATTTCATGACTTAACTAATGTAATAGAACAGGCATATTCCTTCAAAAAAAAAAAAAAAAAAAAAAAATTCCTTCAAACACAACTCCCACGACCCACTCAGTACCATTTTTTAACCCACAATTTTGAGGGTATTTCCTCAGCATGTTCTAAGATTGTGCTAAATTGCAGTGTTCCAGATTCAAGAATTTGGGATGAACTTCACAAATGTTATTTCTCTGGGTGATATTAATGTATTGTTATCCCCCCCCCCAATTGGCTAAGAACCTGCACATGGAAAATATTCATGCCTACATTAAGAAAAACACAACCATGAAGCATGTTTACATGTATATACTAAGGTATTGCAAGCATTACACAAGTGTGGGGACTGGGGAGAGTCCTGGTACTTGATAGGGAAGACCTAAAAATAAGTGCCATTCCCTTGGTCCAATATCACTCATATCTAACAGTTTGGCGTGTATACACTGTTGGCCAAACATATGGAATTATAAATAGATGGAAATGAAAAATATCTTAATTACAAATGTGTTTAGATTATTTTTCCTCACCGATCTAGGAAAAAATTCTCAATTCCTTAAAATTTGAGAGGGTATAGAAAACAAGGAAATCAATGGTAAATTGGAAAATATTCCATATATCTGAGCAACAGATTAGTGAGGAAAAGTTCTGATTTCTATCATTTAGACCCAGTGTCCAACTCCCCCACACACAATCACATTCTCTAGGTAGTGAAATAGAAAGAATGGGGGTTACCAGATACTTAATAGTGTACGAGTCTAAGAAGGAAAAGCAAACATGGTAAATAATATAAGGTAGTGGAGTAACATGGAGGGATTTACCAAACTAGCCTGAATAAAATACTAGGGTTCACCAATATGTTCTGAATTAATACTTAAACAAATTGAACAACCCTTGTATTTTAAGTAATGAAACATTTTAAAACCATTCTTAATTTACATGTGGTCTATCCAAACTCACTGTCTTTACAATGCTAGTATATAAATATGGAAAATGTCATCTAACTCATCTAATTGTCATTTTCATATGTAGACTTTCAAATTAATAAAAATAAAAAAAAACATTAACATTAACTCTGAAATGAAAAATTAATCTGAAATCAAGAATTATGCATTATTGAGTGGTTTTCTTTCCAAATTATGAATGAATCGATGTCACAAAATAAAATCAAAACAGTGTTTCTAACATGATGGACAGTATAAAAGTATAAAATCCACTAAGCATGTACTTTTTTAACATTAGAACTGCTTCATGAGAATTTTGAAACCATAAAAACAAAAAAGGCCTGGGCCTATAAGTTATTTCAAAGAATTGAAATTTTAACTCAAAATGTACCTTTTAGGAATAATTTAGTAATATTTTGACCAAAAATATCAAGCGCATACTAGATAAATATTGTCAAAATGACAAACCCTTTCATGGAACTTTTTGGACACCTTACAGTACAGATCAGAAAACATTTACCGTAATCAGACATATTTTTCAATATGAAGTACAAATGTTGAATATAATAATGTTTACATGAATACATCTACTTCATTAAAAAGCTTGGTTGACAAAGACAGGGTGTCCAAAAACTGTGTCGACAGAACACAATTTAGGTCACCCTACATGCAACACTTGATGATATGTTTCTATAGCAACGTACCCAAGAACAAAATGCCATATTATTGTCAATTACACGAGTTTCACTTTACAGTAAAACAGTAAATATCATATAAACACTTCTCTAATACAAGGAACACCTACTTCTGTTTCATTTTTGATGACAACTTAAAATAAATTTAGCTTTTTTGTCTTGTATAATATTCCTTGTAATTTTAAACTAGCTAAAAAAATTGTAAAACTCAGTCAAACCATTTGTAATGAAATAGAGAAATTTTTGTCGTTTTGTCTCTATGGTAACCAACCTGCATCAGTTACAGTGGAGACGGTGAATTAAACATTTTTTTCAGAAATCTCAAACACACAATTAGATATTACGGATCTATTTGAGATCTTACATTTGTAATGATGAATGACATATTGATTGAAAAATCATAAACAACAATTTTTCACTCCTGTCTAAGATCCTATCTTAAATATCTGTTTGTACAATTAAATATTCATTGATATTTCTATATACTATACTCACTTTAAACAAGGAATAACCATGAACAATTTGCCATTTTGCCCCTGGGTTTTGTTGCCATTATTCTGATCTCAGGTTATACATATTACATACAGAAGGTCTATATGATAATAGCCGAATAACAAAATTTACAAAATAACATAAAAAATGATATAAATTGCAAGTTTAAAATAACCAATGAGATTCACATGTGTAGGTAACATTAAATATTTTTATAAAAAAAAGAATCTTATTTATTCGGTTTTAATATGTTTTTCTTGATTATGAATACTAGAAGCATGTACGGTGGTTTCGATTCACACATATGGGAAATAATGCAAACATAAATATAGTTTCACATGTCCGTATGCTCGGATATTGACAAAATCATTTATTTACCCCTAATTCCACTCAATAAATTATCAAAAATTATCAAAAAAGATATGCATTTGTCTTAGTTAAGTATATCATTACCACTAACTGGCACTGGAATATATGGCTTTGAGAGTATTGTCAAAACATTTTGCTTTGAGAGTAGTAAAATTAAATTGCACTGATATAATACTGTAAATTATTACTCATTTGTTGATGAAGATTGCAGACAAAAAATGTCCTAGTTTTTTCATAGTTCACATTCTGAACACATTGTCGAATATAAGTTACCCAAGTAAGTACTTAACCAAAGCAATATGCAAATTAAATCAAAAAAATTAAATACCATTAACCAAAGGCTAAATGTACTTAAAATAAAATTATCACACTAAATACAGGGTGATCAATAATAATGCGACTGGGGGATATTTTCCCCCTGATATTACTTTGTGATCACCCTGTATTTAGCTGTGATGATGTGGACTCATAATTGTGGATTTGATTTATACTTTGTCTAACTAAAAATCTACACTTTATGTGATAGCATAAATATATATGTATATACATGTACTATAATAATGCATTGTGATCGTGAAATAGAAAATTCATTCCATGTTTCTCAGTCTATATAGAGCAGGCATACAAGTACATTACAATATATCAAAATCTAAAATTTTCATCTCCAGATTGAAAATGTCAAAAATTGGCTAGATTTCCAAATAAATAATTATACGATGGGACTTCATTCATCACCAATACAGGGTGATCCTGTATTTATTAAGTTTTTATTTATTTTTGTATGTAGATTTTCTCCGATTTTCTCCTCTATAAACACGGGTCCTAACCACACCTTATCTTAAAGTGAGTGTTTTAGGCTCTGCATTGAGCTAATCATATCGTTGTGTTTCTTAACACACAAATCGGCTTTCCTAACTGCTAAGTCTCTCCAGGTATCATGGGGTCTAGTTAGTACCCAATTGTTAAAAGTTCTTTCATTTTCTTTCTATTTAAAAAAAAAACAAGTGTCCCTTCATCTCCCTATTCTGGCATGCCGATAAAATTTAATTGTATTTTTATCCACTAATATTTTAAGACATATTTATACGAAGGCTCCACCCTATTTATTATTCAAAAAATCTATGCCAACATTGACATGTATTTTTCAATATATTGATGTACTAGATATGCGGAGCAGTCACAACACTGAATTGCTGTCACAAAATTGCATCAGGCACAAATATATACTTTTTGTTGATTATTCCACTTCCATTGGTGTCTCAAAAATGCTGATTTCACATTTTCGTCGTAAATAAGTTTCATACGTACATATATTGTCACATATATGTCACTGTGGATTTCTGTATCTCTCAGTCATTTTTGCATGAATAAAATTGCATTGCATACAGGTCTCTAGCTAGAACTCCCAGAATTTTCCTTCCTTTTGATATCAACAGATATTTGAAACATAGAGCGGCAATATTGGCAAGCTGGTTGAAAGTGACTTAAACCAGTCATAACCAACTACAGTCAGTCACGACCAATTATAACCAGTTCAAACTGGCTGGCTATAACCGATCTCAATTGTCTCCTAAATATAGTAGATTGGTTATAACAGACTCATAAAGGCAACTTTAACTTCACGAGGGCACGCAGGACATGGACTATAACAGACAAAGTGTACATACATTGTAGCTGAGAGTGGGTGCGGCACCAACTAACATAAACAGCCTCTGTGGATTGTGTCACTGATTATAGTAAAACCACACTTAAAACACCACTCCGGTCATGTCTGATTTCTCTCATTTTCACACGTTTCTCTCTAAAATTTGAATAAACTGCCCGATTTTCTTGCATTTCTATACAATTTAGAGTGTTGACTACATGACTGTATACTCTATTCCTTGCTCAATCTCTCCTTTCACTGAGTAATTTAAGTTTCAATACATGACCATTGTGAGAGCATTGCTGGGTTACTAAAGTAACCTACATTTGTGGTCTCTACGATTATGGGATGAAGGTTGTAATACTCCCCTAACTGCTTCATCAAACACCTGGAAATTAACAAAATCATCATTTAAATAATCATATTACATTTGGAAAGAGTTGGGACTCTCTGAGAGAAATTCACCTCGTAACTCTTATACTACACCCCCAAAATGCAATCTGATTTTCGACGCTGTTTCGTTGCCAAATTTCGGTGCCGTTTCGGCACCAAATGGACTGACTAGTCTGGTACCAAATTTTGGTGTCGAAAATTTTCGGTGCCGGAACGGTGCCGAATTTCTTCGATGTCGAAACAGCGCCAAATTATATTGGCTTTGTACTAGGCTCTGTGATTCAGGGTTTGGTTTTTTTCGATTGTACAGAGACAAAAATTTTAAACATTTGCTGAACAATGACTTGCAACCAAATCGAAAATTACAACAGTTTCAAAACAAACCCCAGAGTATAAGCATTTGGGGTTGGGTTAAAATATTGACTTCTGTCACCTATATGTATGTTTAAGAATTTGAATATTTTTATAATATTTTGGGAAAATTACCCAGCATCTATTTATAAATCTATTTCAATCCTTTTAAAACTTGAAAATCTAATCATTTTGACAAGTTTTGGATATCTGTTAAAATGTCAATGAAAAAAAATGCTGATGAGAAAACCTCAATGGGGAACATTTAAAAACTCACCTGTTTTAATCCTCTTTGTGTAAGAGCCGAGCATTCTATATATTTTACTGCCTTTATTTTAGATGCCATTTTAATGCCCTGTTCTCTCTTTATTGGAGACAAACCCTGGGATACCAGTAGACCTATAGCCTCTTTGTTCTCTCGTAAATCAATTTTTGTACCTGAAACAAAAAAATGAGTTAAAGAATAACATCCTTTTACCCTTACCTGAACAATTCCACAAAACAGACAGACAATCAATCTGCAGGGACTGATACCTATTAGCTCAGAGGACCGAAATGCATTAAACAAACCAATTTATAAACTTACCCCCCCCCCCCATAATCAGTGTGTCTTTCAAAATTAAATTTTTTATTTTTTTTAAAAACTCATATAGACATGTATAATTGTAAACAAATCCAATTTTAATGTAATAACTCTATACTGAATTTAAAAAAAGTTTAAAAAAAGGGGACAGAGGCCTTTAAGTGATGACGTGTGAATGTAGTTTTATTTCATCCTGTTGAAATAGATTATTTATGATCCATGTGATCTGATACAGATTTATGCTGAAATGTCTACAGATAACAGAACAATGAATTATATAAAGTGGCCTCCTCGTAACCAAACTGGGACCTCTGCTTACCTATGAGCAATACTGTACCTCTGATTTTCATTAAGGGGTCTTACCTTTGAGCAACACTGGGGCCTCTGATTTTCATTAAGGGGTCTTACCTTTGAGCAACACTGGGGCCTCTGATTTTCATTAAGGGGTCTTACCTATTAGCAACACCAGTGTCTCTGATTTGCATAAAGGAGTCTTACCTATGAGCAACACCAGTGTCTCTGATTTGCATAAAGGAGTCTTACCTATGAGCAACACCAGTGTCTCTGATTTGCATAAAGGAGTATCACCTATGAGCAACACCAGTGTCTCTGATTTGCATAAAGGAGTCTTTCCTATGAGCAACACCAGTGTCTCTGATTTGCATAAAGGAGTCTTACCTATGAGCAACACCAGGGCCTCTGATTTCACATAAAGGGGTCCCATGAGAAACACTAGGGGCTCTGATTTCACATAAAGGAGTCTTACCTATGAGCAACACTGGGGCCTCTGGGCAGTGATGTTTAATCTCTGGCATCCACTTTGTATTTACATTTTCAAATGATGAGGGACTGATCACACTAAAGCATACTAGGAACACATCTGTCTGAAATACAACAAAATATAGCAATTATAGTTCAATTTTGTGGAGTGAAGTTTACTATGTGTGCTAAAAGTCTATATTTCAGGAGTCTGGTTTTTTATATCATACCTTACGATTCATACAGAACCAAATTGTCTACTTGAACAATGACTTGTGACAAAATCGTAAAATGCGACTGTTCATAAAAATGGAGCCTAGGGACCCAAGACCTCATTTGAGGTTGGGCCAAAATATTAACTTCTCTCAAAATATGATATTATTTATATTTTAGAATTTGAAATCGATTTGTGATACATTAAAACTTCAAAAACCTCAAAAAATACACCAGGACTTTTTTTCTTACATTAGTACAAATTTCTCATTTTCTATTTTTGACCAAAGTTGATTAAAATATGCAAATTTTTCATGATTTTTATTTTCTAAGTGGCCAGTCGTCTATTTTCAAAATCTGGTGATGGATCAACACCTATTTGCCTTAAAGTTTGAACTATGTGAATACAAGTGAATAATGAAAATACGAACATGACACAAAGTGAGAAATATCACACTTTTTAATCATATAATTCAAAATGGCAACAATGTAATTTACCCAGCAGGCCCAAAACCTGATCAGATCTGCAATAGTTTGTTTTTCAAGTTGACCAGGAAGATGTTTTCCTGGAATTTGATTAAAGCAATGCCTGGTTGCCTACATGCTCATCCCCCCCCCCCAGCAACACAAGACAATTATGATATAGCACAAGTTTTGAAAAAGTGTGATTAAAATTATTTCTGATTTCAACAAAATATTGAGCTCTTGCACAAAATATTCACACTAATAATTACATATCTGTTTTCATATATTCAAATTGCAACGGTAGAATGTTTTCCATTTTGTTTTCTATCAATAATTTCTTATATGCCATTTCTACCCTTGCTTTGAAAATTGTTTAGAAGTCGATATTCAGTACTTTCGTAAAATCACATAAAAAATGACAATTTTTAGTAGATCCCAATTATTGAGTTACTCCCGATCTGGGAAACTTACTTGAGGGTAAGATAGAGGGCGTAATCTGTCATAATCTTCCTGTCCGGCGGTATCCCATAATCCTAAGTTGACGGGCACTGTATCAACAGTCAATGACGCAGTATAGTTATCAAACCTAAACAGTACATGCAAAACACTGAATTATTCCATGTAATATATGCGATATCATATTTTTCACAGTCTGAGTGAATATCATGTTGTCCCTCAGAATAAAATCCATATGTCCAGCCTCTTATCAAATCACCCCTTTTTAATCAAAAGCAAATAAATCTCTTCACATTTTTAAATTACTTTTTCGAAATATTTATAATGATACTGGTAATTATTATACGCACTAGTGTATTGCAAGAGGGCATACATATCACAATTACACTAGGGATTACAACATAATACTGAAAGGTATATATCACACTACGTCACAAGTGAACCCACCCCTTGGCAAATCCTGGCTACGGGCCTGTACACTTACACTGCAGGTGCACATATCGTTAAGTACACCTTACACTAACAACTTTTGCATACATATTACACTATAGGTGTAGAGCAATCACCCAGAAATCAAGGGGTCTTTGATTCACTCTGGGGTGGACTGACTTTTTCACATCAGCCCTTCGCATAGGATTTCATTCTATATTTTCAGTAACTAATCTAATAGGTGACTCAAATCAATTCACTTCATGTAATGTAATTTTTACAATACTTTTTTTTAGAAAATAAATAAATGATAATAAAATAACCACATACTCTAACATACTTTGTAAATTTACTCCATCTTGGGAATATACACAAACCCTTAATTTGTGTCACCCACAATCATGGTATATGTATATACATGTACACTGTAGTGTGTTTTGTGAAACAAGCAAATTGAAATTGAATTGAATGAGAGATGATAGAGATAATACCATAGTTTAGGTCTATAGTTTTTCAAAATTTTTTTATTTTTTGTATTTACTTTACTCCAGCTTGGGAATACACAAACCCTTCTGTCACCCACTCATTGTATATGTATATTGTTTGTTTTGTGAAATAAACAAAATTGAAAATTGAAATAAATATGAGTACTTACACAGTAGGTACATATTCTCCTGGGAAGCTATCTGTTGTGAAGGATATGAGCATACATGTCTTGCCAACTGTTCCATCTCCAACTACCACACATTTTATTTGCCTAGCCTGAGCCATGGTACATCTGCAAGGTAAAATTAGGGTAAAAATAATCTTCAATACTGGAGAGTACAACAGTTAATATTTGCATAGTCTAGTCTCAGCCATCATCCTTGCCACACCTGCCAGAGATTGTCAATGTAAAAATAATACCCTTTGCATTTATTCGACTTTGCTTCTTAAAAGACAGCTTCATCTTCACTCTTTCACTTTACAATAAATCTCTGAACTCCCCGAGCCAGAGTTCATCGTCGAAATATGGACGAAAAATAGGCAGTGTAGCACAGGATATAAAAGTAAAGGAAAGAGTAAAAAATGAAAAATGAAACATTTCTTTTTGAAACATCAAAAACATCTATCGATTGGATGATGTAAATAACTGTAAATTATTATTATCAAAAGAATGTCTTCCCTGAAATCGGGTAGGCTACTTGAAAAAGTTGCCTACCCCAACAAAAATCAGCCTACCCCAATAAAAAATATGATGCCTTTTGGGCCCTTAGCCCCAGGCAGTATAAAAAATCAAGTCGAGCTCTGCATGAAAAAAATAGACAAGAAAATATCTCTTTTCATACCGCTTATCTTTGGGAAATCTCCCCTCTACCTCTTTTCATAAAGAACTTGAATCGACTTTTATACATGTTCCCAGCCATATGTTTTTTAGTTTATTTTATTAAAGTGTCACAGGCCTATTAATACTAGAGGTGTCACGGTCCAAAAAAATTTCGGTACGGTACACCGAAATGTTGTAATGTCTGATGATGGCAGTATCACTTTCACTTTTCAAAATCATATTCAGAAATAAAGAAACGTCAATTAAAATCTAATGTAACACATCTGCCGCGAATGTGATCGTCATTTCATATAGTCTGCACAGTGAACTATCACCAATTTGTTTACCTTGTGATATCGGAGTTCCAAAATACTTCCAAATTGCCGACTTTTTCGACTTAGATTTTTCAATTTCTTTCCTACATTCGGCATACTAATAATGCACTTGATTTGCAAACAACGATGAAGAAATTTAAGAACAAGCATTACAATCTACCTGAAATCGCGGATCTGTTGATAACACTTTTCATTGTAAAGAAGTGTAATCTAGGTACGAGTTGTGTGAAAATATTTAATTTTTCAGAACGAAATCGGAGGTACTCCTCGCTATTTATACACGTTTTTATGTATTTTAGGGAAGGAATTTATGTACCGATCCGAACCGATATTAACCCTTTCTGTCCCGTATCCCGAACCAAATCACCTGTAGAGAAATTTGATCCAATATAGGCTTGGAAACCGTGACACCTCTAATTAATACATAATTATAGAATTATTCAAAAGCCACAAGCCAACAATGACTTATGAGACACTGTCCATCTCAGACATTTTTATCTTTGGGCCTCTTTCTGTTCACATTTTTCTGACTGTTTTTATTATTACTCAAAAGCAATCTGTTGTAATAACCACCAGGATTATCACTCTTGACATTTGAACTCACTCGATTCACTGCCAGATTGTATATTGCATGTATTGGGATCTACTGTAGGCCTTGTCGTACTATCGGAAGTTTTCTTTAAAATTTTCAATTTCTGACTGTCTCGAAATCAATTTTAAACAAGACGTTTTATTGGTCAGCTTTTTTTAAATACAATGAACATGGCAGCTATTAGCGAATCAAAATCAAAGTATCAAGGGTAAATATGTTGTTTTTCTGGTATAAATGTGGTCAAGTAGGTCTATAAAAATTTTAGCCTGAAAAACTTACGGACAGTCGGGTTAGCCATTCTAAAAATTCCTGTTTGAAAATTAACAAGTGACACAATTGAGGAATGCAGAAAAATTCCAGCATGCACCCTGGCCTTGCCTTAAAGCCAGGGTGCATGTTGGGAAATTTTCTGCATTCCTCAATTGAGTCACAAACAAGAATTACTCCTTCCCCACATTGTCTGCATCTTCCAGGTTTGCACAAAGAGTGCACTTATGTGCCTAGAGAAGACTTGTGAGAGATTTGTCTTGTAAAATGTATAAAAAACGAGAAAATTCAGTGAATAAAATTCCTGAAAATTTTCTGAATTGTTTCACTGAATTTTCTTGTTTTTATACATTTCATTAAAACATTCTTCTCACAAGTCTTTTCTAGGCACATAAGTGCACTCTTTGTGCAAAACTGGAAGATATAGACAATGTGGAGAAGGAGTGATTCTTGTTTGAAAAATAACATGTGACTCAATTGATTGAGGTATGCAGAAAATTTCCCATCATGCACCCTGACCTTAAGCCTATTTCTCTGGAAAACCACTAGATGTCTCCTAGATTTGTAGATATGGAAAATATCTGGATGAGCTTCTATCACCAACTAGGCAACAGCAACGCCAAAGCGTAGCAAATCCCATCGAACAGCCATGGCAGGCATTTTACAAACTAAGTATATAGCAAAAATGGCAGCCATTTTTCAAAATGGTCACCTACCAAAAGTGTCATTAGAAAGTGTGCCATGCTTATATTATTCACATACCAAATATGAAACAAGAACACAAACGTATACAATATGTCCCCACCAATGGGTGATCCCATGAAATGGTTATCCTGATAATGAGTAGTCAAGACTTTATCGTTACAATTTTGGGACGGAAAATGCAAAATGGCCACCTTAAAATTTACCCAGAATGCCAGAAAATTAGTCAGCTCTAGATTTTCATACTTCGAACCAACCCTGAAAATTTGAAATTGATCCGTCAACAGTAAACAAAAAAATGCGTAAACAAGACTCTACAGACAAGATTTTAGGACGGAAAAATCCAAAATGGCTGCCTTGACATTTGCCCAGAATGCCAAAAAACTAATTAGTTCTAGATTTTCATACTAAGAATCATCCCTGAAAATTTGAAATTGATCTACCAAACGGTTCACCTGAAAACGCGTAGACAAGACTTTACAGACAAGATTTTAGGACGGAAAATCCAAAATGGCTGCCTTGACATTTATCCAGAATGCAAAAAAACTAATCAGTTCTAGATTTTAATACAAGGAATCATCCCTGAAAATTAGAAATTGATCTACCAAACGGTTCACCTGAAAACACATAGACAAGACTTTACAGGCAAGATTTTAGGATGGAAAATCCAAAATGGCTGCCTTGACATTTACCAAACGGTTCACCTGGAAATGCGTAGACAAGACTTTACAGACAAGATTTTAGGACGGAAAATCCAAAATGGCTGCCTTGACATTACCCAGAATGCTCGGAAACTAATCAGATCTAGATTTTCATACTAAGAATCATCCCTAAAAATTTGAAATTGATCTACAGAACGGTTCACCTGGAAATGCATAGACAAGACTTTACAGACAAGATTTCAGGACAGAAAATCCAAAATGGCTGCCTTGATATTTGCCCTGATTGCCAAAAAACTGATCAGTTCTACATTTTCATACTAAGAATCATCTCTGAAAATTTGAAATTGATCTACCAAACGGTTCACCTGAAAACGCGTAGACAAGACTTTACAGACAAGATTTTAGGACGGAAAATCCAAAATGGCTGCCTTGACATTTACCCAGAATGCCAAAAAACAAATCAGATCTAGATTTTTATACTAAGAATCATCCCTGAAAATTTGAAATTGATCCACCAAACGGTTCACCTGAAAACACGTAGACAAGACTTCACAGACAAGATTTTAGGACGGAAAAATCCAAAATGGCCGACAATAAAAAAGTGATTATGTGTTTTTGCTGATTTCTTCTTACAAAATTATCACATATAAGGGGAGGCATCAAAAGTTCAATGTCTGATAGGAAACTAAATAAATCTAGTTTTGAGTTGGACCCCCCCCCCTCCCCCTCAAAACTAAATACAATGAAAGTTGATCGCGGACTTTTCACATGTTTTAGCGACTCAATTTGGACTTTCATGGGGCCAGTACTATAACTTATTTATGATTCTTAAAACATGTGCCAACAACAATAGGCATAATATTCCATGTTGCATGCATCTTGGTGAAGAAGGCATCTGGTAAAGTCTTTCTTTTTAAACCATTCCAAGGTATTTCGAGTCGAAATTGCGAAAAATTTAAATGTTGAAATTTGTCGGATAGCAAACTGAAATAGCTTTGACCCCCTCCCCCCCAAACTAGATTTATTTAGTTTTCTATCAGACATTGATCTTTTGATGCCTCCCCTAACTACTGTTAACAATAACATAGGCTTTTACAACAAAGTACATCTGAAATTATTTATAAAGCTACTAAATAGTTAAAGTATGAAAAGTCAAAAACACCATTCAATATGATACAAAGTATTATCGTGCGCTAACTTTTCTTAAGACATTCAAAATGGCTGACATGACTGAGCTTACAGGTCCAAAACCTAATCAGATCTAGAATGAAGTGAGCTGAACAAGATGTTAAAGTTTTAAAAGCAACTGTGAAGCCGTTCTTCTTAAAGTTTGCAGACAAGGATTTTAGCATTTGACTTCAAAATGGCCGACAGGAAGTAGGTAGCCTTCTACCAAAAGTGTCATTAGACAGTGTGCCATGCTTATAGTATTCACATACCAAATATGAACAAAATTGCTCCACTACTTTTCCAGTTTTTGTAAAATATGTTAAAATGGTGGCCATTTTGAAAAATGGCCACATTTTACCAAAAGTGTCATTAGACAGTGTACCATGCTTATAGTATTCAAATACCAAATATGAACAAAATCGCTCCACTACTTTTCGAGTCATAGTAAAATGGCCACCTTCTACCAAAAGTGTCATTAGACAGTGTGCCATGCTTATAGTATTCACATACCTAATATGAACAAAATCGCTCCACTACTTTTCGAGTTACAGCAAAAATCGTAAAATAAAAAGTAAAGGCTGCCATTTTTCAAGATGGCTGTCAAGTGCTTCTTTAATATCTATATTTCTAGCTTTATTATGTCCTATTTAATCTTTTATATTTAAAACATATTGTCATTACAGTTTTACATATTGCACCTAAATTACTGTACAATCGCCACTAAAATTGGCTTTCGAGCAGAACTTCTACCCCAATAAGGTATATGTGTACAAAATATGAACAAAATCGGGCCAACGGTATTTGAGTTATTGCCCGGGCGGATAGACGTACGTACGAACAGACGAAGGCGTTCCCTATATCCCTCCGAACTTTGTCCAAAGGGATAACTACATATCTATAGTGCTGATACAAAATAATTAAGGGTGAGTTTTCAAACTAAACAGAGTGCTCCTACCAAAATGGATTTGCCTACATACCCCTGAGACTCTTATCTGATATATAGAATGCACATGAATGATTTGCTTCTGAGCACTTACCATTAAAAGCTAACCACAATAAACAAATCTTGCAGAGATTACCCTTTTTAGCGAAATTTCAGCTCAAAACTCATGACAAATGCATACGTTGGTATGAAGCCTTGGAGCATGGGCTTTCAAGAGACAGTGTATACTTTTCTGCAGTTTGAGGGAGTTTGGGACATAAATGTTAAAAATTCAAGAAAATATGCCAACTATACGACTTATGTATAATTTGTATCAGCACTGTAGGTAAATTTCAACTCCACTAAAGGATTTCTGAACCTCGAGACTCTGGAATCGAAATGTGTGCCAAATTTATCTTTTTCAAAATAAAGGATTTTGTTATGGGCAAACAAAAAAATTACCTTCACAATAAGTTAAAGACTCTGAAAAGGGAAATAAAAAAATGTAAAAAAAATCAGAAAAAATGTCAAAATATTTTGGATTTTCTTTTAGAAAAATAAGACTAATCCAAATCAACTTACCAATTTTGTTATACCTGTCACCTTCCTTGGTATCGACAAATTCTATTCATTGCACTTAGTTACCGAAAATATGTATATTATTCATATAAATCCTTGAAATTAATGAGTTTTCTGCTTGATTCACTTTTCAGAAAAATTCGGCAGCCATCTTGATGTCTCATGATCTAAAAATACCAGCCAATCATAATGCTTGATTAAAGAAAATAATCCGTGTTCCATTTACAATTATATATTCATTCGTGTGGATATTGCTTTCCTTTAACTTTGGACCAAAAGGAAATGTATATTTAAATTCATAGGGGTATGACAAATTTCTTTTGAAGATGTTACCCAAGTGTCATTTCAGGTCACAAGGCGGAGTGATATTTTAATTTACTTGCAGTTAATTAGGTTAGGGGAATACCCATTTCCTCTGGGACCAATCATTCATAATTTCTGTAAAATGCCACAAATAGTATAGATTGTATACAATACATGGTCAAATAATTTTACTTTTTCAAATAAAGTCAATATGAAAATTATTGGATATATTACCTTTAATCAAATTTAGCGGGACTGAATAATGAGCAAATACAAATCACCAAATTTGAAAATGACATCAAGGATGTTAGGCAATATGGCGGCGATCAAAAACTGGGTTGTTCAGAGAAATATAAAATTAGCCTAAATGTTTTCCATTGAATTGAGAAAGACAAAAGATCAGAGTTTGATATTTTAACTTCATTTCTTAAGATCAACTTTAAGTGAAGGTGAGTAGCTGGTTGACTATTTTATTCTTGCCAGTTTCAGGCCTGTCAACTCATAGGAGACAGGTTACCTGAAAAGGAAGATAGATATCATTATCAAGGACTGAAACTGAGGCAAGTCTACCCTGGCTGAAATCAGCTCTGAAATAACAATTACTGCATGTCAAGCCGTCATTCAATGCTGATTTTGTAGAAAACAGATCTGTCCATCCTTCTACATGTGAGTTTTTCCCATAAAGATGCTTGATTAAGTAGAAATTCATCAAATTATACCCCTAGAATATCAAAGTTCAACTGTACATCAATCGCGTGAGGAAAAAAAACAAATCCATTTTTCACCTTCTGTTCACAAACCCTTCTTCTTCTTCTTGGAAAAGTTGTCCCTCATTTGACTAACAGCAAATGTGTATGTTTATGCAGCAATATATGTTAGTTTAGAAAATGATTAATTACAATCTTACCTGTACTTCACAGAAACATCCTAAGTATGAAAATATTTCACTAAAAATACATGCTTCCATTTTGTCACATGTTCATAATAATTTACATATTGACCATGTGATGTTGACAGGGAGTGTAAACGCACCTAGCGTACAGGAAATATGTTATGATATTTATTAAGAAATTAGGTATGGTAATCATTATTACTTATTGTATTAAGCCCCCAACCTACTTCACAAAGTTCATGAAGTACCAAGGAAAGACCAAATATTAAATAAATTAGAAAAATTTGAATTTCCCAAAAAATCAAGTGGGCGATAATAGAGTCTCTGAAACATTAAATTTTTCCTTCATTAACTTATTACATACATTATTTTTAGATAATATTAGTTTGATATGGTGTGGAAAGCACACAATGAGAGATAATTATCGGGAGTGCATTGAAAATTACAAAATATGTCACTTTTGCCATGTTTCAGAGGCTCTATTATCGCCCACTTGATTTTTTGGGAAATTCAAATTTTTCTAATTTATTTAATATTTGGTCTTTCCTTGGTACTTCATGAACTTTGTGAAGTGGGTTGGGGGCTTAATACAATAAGTAATAATGATTACCATACCTAATTTCTTAATAAATATCATAACATATTTCCTGTACGCTATGCGTTTACACTCCCTGTCAACATCACATGGTCAATATGTAAATTATTATGAACATGTGACAAAATGGAAGCATGTATTTTTAGTGAAATATTTTCATACTTAGGATGTTTCTGTGAAGTACAGGTAAGATTGTAATTAATCATTTTCTAAACTAACATATATTGCTGCATAAACATACACATTTGCTGTTAGTCAAATGAGGGACAACTTTTCCAAGAAGAAGAAGAAGGGTTTGTGAACAGAAGGTGAAGAATGGATTTGTTTTTTTTTCCTCACGCGATTGATGTACAGTTGAACTTTGATATTCTAGGGGTATAATTTGATGAATTTCTACTTAATCAAGCATCTTTATGGGAAAAACTCACATGTAGAAGGATGGACAGATCTGTTTTCTACAAAATCAGCATTGAATGACGGCTTGACATGCAGTAATTGTTATTTCAGAGCTGATTTCAGCCAGGGTAGACTTGCCTCAGTTTCAGTCCTTGATAATGATATCTATCTTCCTTTTCAGGTAACCTGTCTCCTATGTGTCAACTTGGGAACACCATGGGCTCTATCAGGTGGTAGAGCCCATGGGAACACAGATAAAGCAGAACTGTCAACCCCTAAAGATTTTCTCGCGGGACAGATTTTTTAGACCCAGTGCCCAAAATTCGCGGGATTTTGCGGGACCTCTACTAAATTCGCGGGATTTTGCGGGATTGAGCTAATAGGAGAGTTTTTTTTATCAAATTCGCGGGACCATTCGAGGGACAAACACCCTAATTGCGGGACAGTTAACAGGTGTACCACCAAAAACTTCATAGAGGGACAGATTTTTTAGACAAAGTGCCCTAAATTTGCGGGATTTCGCGGGACATCCACCTAAATTTGCAGGATGTCCCGGGACATTCAAGGGATTTGCGTGATTGGGACTAATGTAAAAGCGTGTAGAAGTACTTAAATCAAACTTTCAGATACTGATTAATCAAATATAATGCACCGTTACATTGTAACTTAAATAAACGTCAACACAATTTCACAAAATACGCATAGGAATATTATTAAACTTTATTGTAATTTATCAAAAACAAAAACCATGCTTCAGGTGTGATTACCGTAATCTAACACGAAATTCAAAAATTCGGAACAATTATACTTTGCACTTCTGGCGTCGTGACCAACTATGAAACGCTTACCCCCATAATGTTATATATTAAAATGTACCTATTCATATACTGTAGGCATGGGCTTTCAATTGAAAGCCCATGATATAGGGGTTCGATTAATCTACATCAAATTATAGGGAATGAGGTTAATTTTCTAGATAGGGTTTGTATAAAAAACCGGGTACCGGGTAGTAAATCCTCCATGCTGGGTTCAAACTTGGAACCCGGTCGAAAAAAACCAAAAAACGAAATATACGAATACACAATATAATTAGATCATTAGAAAACGTGTAAGATTTGTTTTGAATTTACAAAAATGTATGTAACTTCCTTCAAAATTGAGCTTTTAGCTTCAAATAAAAAGCATTTTAAGGCTCTTTTCTTCCTCTATCATCTTGGTCATATTTCCATTGGTAATGAAGGGGGGGGGGGTGCGATCGCACCCCCTCCTGGCTACGCCAATGACATAGTAAGACGATTTGAAATACAAGACAAATCAATCTTACTCTATTTTCAATAGTTCGTATGTTGGTACGTGAATTGTTTTGATTATGATTTAAATCTGTAAATAGCTATCGTTGCTTTAGCAGAGAGGTGACGTGTGTTAATTTGCATGATGCAACGTGTAAGATTTTGATTATTAATCATAATTTAAGTTATCCCAATTTATGACAAAATGTCCACTGAATTATAAATTGTTATGTCTTACAATGTCATAGGCGTAGCCAGGAGAGGGTGCGATGGTGCAATCGCACCCCCCCCCCATAACCAATGAAAATATGGCCATAACGATAGAGGAAGAAAAGTGCCTTAAAATATGCTTTTTATTTGAAGCTTCTAGCTCAATTTTGAATCATGTTACATACATTTTTGCAAATTCAAAACAAATCTTACACGTTTTCTCATAATCTAATTATGTTATATATTCGTATTTTTCGTTTTTTGGGTACCCGTTTTTTTTGACCGGGTACTGGGTACCAAGTTTGAACCCAGCATGGAGGATTTACTACCCGGTACCCGGTTTTTTATACAAACCCTTTCTAGATATCAGCGTACATTTATTGTAACTCGCGTTTGCTAACATTTGCTCAGTTCTGAGATGAAGGCCACACGGGTAGTAAAAAGGCCAACGTTGGAACTATTTGTGACCTACATCCCTATTTTCGTAATTAAAATGAAAGTTGAACCCTTCCCCTTTATTTTGATACCAAACAACAGCATGCTAGGTACTTAAAATTAGGTAAACTTTACTCCTCAAAAGTGCAAAAACTTAGCTTCTTATATAAGAAAAGATAATCAAAATATAGGGGATTGCAACAATTTCGGAAATTCGCGGAGGTCAAAGCCACATTTTGCGGGACACGCGGATTAGCCTAATTTTGATCAAATTCGCGGGATAATCCCGCCATTCTCGGGACACTTGACAGCTCTGGATAAAGTGTGGACCAAAAATAAAACTCAACCATCAGAAGTTGTCACAATGCGCTAAGTTCTAAGTTTCGTGTCTCAAACTCTCCCAAGCGGTAGAAAAATAATTCCCGTTCACTTTAAGTAGCACAATAAATGAATCCAAAACTTCATACCTGCAAAATTTTTTATGATTGATAAATCCCTACCAAATTGAACGAATGTTTTCATGAATCGCCATGTTTGTGATCCAAGGAGGATTGACTCCCAGAATGCAACATCAGTTAACCTTATTTACTTAGACAGATTTCAAAATGGTGTAACGGCATTTTGAAAGCTGGCATGTGTCATGTTGCATTCTGGGAGCCAATCCACATTGCGGTGCAATCGGGCTCTAAAATCACCTCAACATTTGAAGAGTCAGCATTAACATGTGAATGTCAACTTCAAATTTTTAAGTTCTTATTTGTCATTATGGACACAAATTCCACTATATCTGGACTTACTAGGACGAAGAAAATAGAGCACTGAATACACTGTGGTAAGAATTTATTATATGTGCGACAGCATGTAATTTTCATAGCTTTTGTAATTCTTTATGTTCTCCACTGTATCAGATAGGCCTCCCGGGATAGGCCTACCTCCTAAAGTAAGTGAAAGTAAAGTAGGCTTCTTGAAAAAAAATTGATATAATTTCACGTCCAGTTTTTGAAAGTCTGATATCTCTACTATCATTACGGTATCAGTTTAAGTGGAGAAATTCCAGATCTGGTTCGCACCATTTTTGACTTTTTTCGCATGCGTGCACATGCGCATTGTACTTTACAGGCGCATGGGCATCGCCGCTAAAGGATCACATGACTATTCATATTTAGCTAACGCGAGTTATTTTGTAGCAAATATTTACTTTCGAAAGTCAAGAGATCTCGCGAGACCTAAAATGGCTGAAATCCAAATTCAAAAGTTTTGTTGTCTAATAGAACCATAGGCCAAGGGTAAAGTAATAGTAAGCCATATATAGAAGAGACAGGTGAACAAGTCTGACTAGTCTGAGCAATGGGGAGTTGATAGAAAATTGATAGTTTGCAGCTCTTACCTAAGATTGAAACTCAGTCAGATGATATAGAGTGAATAATGATGTCTAAAAGACAGAATTTCTGAAAACCTACAATTGCTTGGCAAGTTCATTAGTAAACAAGTGATCTGATTGGTCACTGCTGACCTCCCTGATCTCCACCAGTGACAATTTCTGTATTAACCAACCAAATCAGTTTCAGCTTGCCAGGCAATTGCAGATATCCATAGTTGTTGTTTTATATGCAGTATTATATGCAGTTTTTAGATAAAGATTTGAAAAAATATGATATAAGTTTGAAAAACACTTTGAAGAAGATTTTGGAGAGATTTGGGAATACAATTTGATACCAGTAAGGAGAACTAAGTGCCAAGACTAAAAATTTTTGAAAAATTTTCAATCTTACTTGTGGACCTGTCTCTTCTATAATATACAGCTTACTATTACTTTTCCCTTGGCCTATCGATAGAACATTGATTTACTACAACAACAGACTGTTGAAGGATCACAATAAGGTAACAACAAATAAATTATGTATTGATTCAAATATATAGTGTGTTATAAACGCTACTCAGCAAAGCGTTTATTCAAAATGGGCTCGAATTATCCCCAGGGGGTTCACTGTATATAAAACTCGACGGGGGTCCTAGGCTGAAGCCTCAAATATCAATATGTTCCCATACCAATCTGTCAAATTTCAATATGTTCCCATACCAACCAAAATAACGCCCAAAGGCCATACCAAATGTCCAAATATAGGACCAATGCCATACCAAATGTCCAAATATAGGACCAATGCCATACCAAATGCCCAATTATCGATAGAACATTGATTTACTACAACAACAGACTGTTGAAGGATCACAATAAGGTAACAACAAATAAATTATGTATTGATTCAAATATATAGTGTGTTATAAACGCTACTCAGCAAAGCGTTTATTCAAAATGGGCTCGAATTATCCCCAGGGAATTATCCTCTTCACGAATTTTTCAATCCAACTTCCCAGAGCTGACAGAAGAAAATGTAAGGCCATTTTTAATAATGAGGCTTAAAGAAGGCCTTTAAAGGCCAAATTATTCCCAAAAGGCCCATTTTTTGAGGTCTTTTGAATTTTTGGGGCTCTAAAATTTTTCTCTGGGCCCACCACATCTCGTGCAATTTTCAGAAAGCAACACCTTCAAGGAATAGTCATTCCACATTGCACTGAGTCCAGGGCTTAAATCCTCAAATAGAAAGGAATCATTCATCTCTTTAATGATGAAAATTTAGACGTAAGACAAAATAATTGATGTACATGCACATACAAGTATATAAGTGTTCTGATTGATTTGTATTATAAAATACCCCATATACAGGGTTTTTGTTCTAGAGGTAGTAAAAATGTAATTTGGTAAAGGTAAGTGATGATTTTTCACGATTTCAAGTTGAATTACACTACTAAGACCATATCTGAAGGTCAAGGTCACAATTTGGGACACAGGACAAGAGTGAAGTGCAGAGAGTTTTCTGTTTTATGTCCCGATGGCAAGTGATGATTACTTCATGGTTATGTGATTTGAAGTGACATAGACTTCCCTTATACTACTAAAATACATTTTAACGTACACCCAACGCCTTTTACCCAAACCAATTTGAGCACCATGTAGACGCCTAAAGCCCAACGCTTTTTTACCCAAATCAATGACCCCCTATCAGCCTTTTGAGTATTCTTTCTATGTCAATTTCCTGTCAAGTTTAGTCCACTCAACTTCATAGATATGTCAAATGCCCCTGGAGTTTGCTGTGACCAGACCCGAAATACCAGTAAATTGACTAATAAATCCACTTTTCTGGTGATTTTTTTCTAGGCCTCAGCAACTTATTTAAACAATATAATACCTTATTTTGTAGATAAACTGATTTTTGACCTAAAAAGGGTACTCTCTTTGACAATTTTTGTCATGTTTTTCTCTCAGATTTGCCAGTTTCCATGGCACATCCTACCACATTTATTTCTTTTCACAGGTTCCCAGGTTGACAGGCCTGATATCTTCAGTTAAGATGTATATATTCAGGCGTATTTCCTCCTCTTTTCACAGGTTCCCAGGTTGACAGGCCTGATATCTTCAGTTAACTCTTTTCGCATTGATAACCAGTTGAAGACTTCAGATCCCTGGAGTTAAAGACAATGAATCTTGTGATATTTAAGGCAAATGTAGCTTTATGTCAAATTGGAGACATTTTTCAAAATAATTGCTAAACCTACCCATGTTATTTTCTGGTACAAAATTGAGACATGTTTGTATTTCTTTACATTTTCAGGTAAGATAAGAGGTCGGTCATCATTGCCAACTCCAGCGAAAGGTCCTGATTTGGGCTTGCTGCATTCAGCATACAGACTGTTAACTCCAGGAAATACTGTCATATTATTTCAAGAAAAAATCAAAGTGGTCGCCATTTCAGTTTCCAGAGTTCTTCTCCAAGTTTCTCAACAACATTGGATTACCTGAAATTCATATTTACAGTAGGACAACAAGAGAGAATCTAACAGATCTAGGTCGGATAAACACCTTTAGAATGGTCATAGTGAGAGACTATGATTGAGCAATATGGCAGCGGCAGCAAACAATCCTCATCCTAAATTTAAAGAAATAGACAAGGAATACCGAAAGCTCCTGTTTGAACTAAGTCAAAAGTTGACTCGTGACAATAGTGAACGTTTGGCTTATGTACTCAAATTCCAAGAAGAATTTAAGACAAGTATTGAGCTATTGCACAAGCTTGAAAAAATAAATGTTTTCAGTATTGAAAGGTTAGATGAATTGAAAAAAGCCTTTGAGGTTATAAAACTCCATGCACTGAATGACTGTATAGAGGAATTTGAAACATGGGCAAAGCCATACCTGAACAAGCGTTTGATAAGACGATTTAGCTCTTGCGATGGGTCCTGCCTGATTGGTCGGGAAGCTGAACTTGAGGAGATAATCCAGACACTGATGTCTGGTGGTCAATCTAACCGTCGTGATGGAATCAACAGTGTATTATTGTATGGGTTCCCTGGTCATGGGAAAACAACGCTTGCTCTTGAAGCCTTAACACAAATGAGTACTTATGAACGATATCCCCAAGACTCGCTGATTGAAATAAATTTGAAAAATCATGTCTCTTGCAAGGAAGTTTATCAAAGCTTAATGAAGGAACTTGATTTGGGAGTCATGTCGAATCTCAATGATAGCAGGAAGGTGTTACATGACTATCTTAAAGAACTTGATCAAGGTGAGTTATAGCCACAATAGGCCATCCTCAGGATCCCATTAGCAATACAGTGAACCCTTTATATGAGCCACGCCACAGGAAAAGGGGTCTTATCACAGATTTTTTCAATATTCTTATTTTTTGTTTATCTTAAAAAGCACAAAGAGACCTTTCAAATGAGCCATGACTTATGTTTTAACAATTTTTCCTTTCATATACTATAGACTCCAAAATGTCGGATTTGAATTTAGCACATTTCCCTCTTAATCTTTGGCACAATTTTGGCTCTCTAGAACAATTTTAATTTTTGTGATAAGACCGGTTTTCCTATGGCAAGGCTTATATATTATATGTGTATTCAGGGCTCTCATGGGGTCAGAGGCTCAAAATTGACAAGATAGGAAAAGAATTACTATTGAAAATTGCACATTTTTCCAAAATAGAAGGCTATTTTTCTGATAAGTTTCTTACAAATGAGGCCTATTATTTGTTATAAGGCAGGTCAATTACAAGCTTGGCAACACCTTAATGATTTTTATCGCACCCTTGAGCATGTTTGGTGCTATTTTGTGATCGGTTTGCCAGGTGGGCGGGTTATGTCCCGATTAATCTTGATCTGGCTTGTACAGAGCCAATCTACAACAGTACCATATGGTACCAGTTTGGCAATGGTACCATATGGTACCGTGAAATATAGTACCATATGGTACCGTAGACTAAAATGGTACTGTACAGTACTGTGAACACTGTACGACACCATACTCCAATGGTAACGTACAGTACCATGATTTTACAGTGCTGATTGGGGGTGTACAATGGACCGATAAAGGCCTAAATTAAAACATGGTATATTAGGGCTAAATAATCTAATGGAATGTGTAAATGTATCACAAAAAGAACTAAGATAAGGTCAAAGTGACCTTGGTAATGAGATCATGCAATTTTGAATTTTCTGGAATGATGACTATTGACTACATGTACATGTATATTTTCACTTCCCATTACATTTACATCCAATTTTGATGAAATAAAATTAAAATACAAAAACAACTTTGATGTTTTCAGATACAATAATATTCTTTGACAATGCGGATGGTCTCCTACAGCCTGAGGGAGATGAAGAACACAAAGCGCAGAGGAGCATGTTTATCAAATTTCTTCGGCATGTTATATGTAAGACAAGTCCCTATGTGCGGGTACTCATGACGTCGAGATACGCACTACCTGAACCTACTCCAGGGGGCTATATACCGATTCATCAGGTGAGAGATCGGGAAAAATTTATAAGATTAATACAAATAATTTAGTCTGGACCAGATCAGTATTTTAGTGTTTTCTCAAAAATTGCCATCATTTTACATTATCCTCTTAATTCCTAAAAAGATGTTTTACTTTTATGTTACCACCAAATTGTACAGTGGAAGTGGTGTCACATTGTAATAGCTTTTGTTTTTGTGACTGCCTTGCTCTATTGAATTATTGGTACACCCTTCCTTCTTTCTCTTTAGTGTGAAATGTGTCTGTTGCATCATTAGTGTGAAATGTGTCTGTTGCATCATTAGTGTGAAATGTGTCTGTTGCATCATTAGTGTGAAATGTGTCTGTTGCATCATTAGTGTGAAATGTGTCTGTTGCATCATTAGTGTGAAATGTGTCAGTTGCATCATTAGTGTGAAATGTGTGTGTTGCATCATTAGTGTGAAATGTGTCTATTGCATCATTAGTGTGAAATGTGTCAGTTGCATCATTAGTGTGAAATGTGTCTGTTGCATCATGGGCAGCAAGAGTCCATTCAAGTCATCTATATACAAGAATTGATTAAAAAGATTATTGTGTTTACTTATGTGAAATGGCTATTACCCAGTAAACAGGCAAATTACATCCGGCCCCGTACAAGCTTGGAGAATTACGAGTCATTACGGGGACAAAAAGGAGCACCATCCTCGTACTGGCTTGTACAAAGCTTGTTTTTGAGGCTCGTGCCATGCTTGTGCGGTGCTCATAATTGTTGTTGTTTTCTAGGCCTGTACGAGCATGTAAGAGGCTCATAATTTCGAGGCCCCTAAGAGCTCTTACGAGACCCGTTATCAAACTCCGAACAAAAATTTAATTGCTGTCATGATACATGATTCATGTATCTATTCAGATCTTACGAGTGTATGTTTAATCATGTCATATTGATGTTTTTATTTACATCACATTTCAACTTATTCCATACCACACACAAATGTGATATATGCGTTTACTTCACTTGTAGAAAAATATGGTGTCTCCTATTGGTAACCCTCCTGTTTATTTTGTTTCCTAGCTTTTATGCTGTTTATCATGTTGATACAGACATTCGAATATTTTGAAATTGTTTAAGACATATTAATTCATAATTAGATATAATTGAAAAGTCATTTCTCAAGTATACTATATTTTATTTCATTGATCAAAAAAGTGTTCATCAAATTAAACGAGCAATTATGAGCCTCGCTACGAGCCATTACGGGCCTTGTTACGAGCATCGCTCAGGCAAGTACAATGCTCGAAAATTACGAGCTATTATGGGCCTCTTAACAGGCACTTTATGAGCAAGTACGTGGATCAAAAATTACAATTTATTACGGGGCTCGTTACAGGCTACTTTTGGACTTCGACAAATTTTAAGATACATTGTACTATCTTTGTCTTGCACTTAATTGAATATATTCACTTTTAAAAATACATTCAAAAGTAGCACATTTCATAGTCCATTTATGTATTCCCCTGTATACCTGTTTTTACAGGTGAGTGAAAAAAATTGATTTGTACAAATATAGTCCATTTCAATTGGTTTATGCGTGTCAATAAAAGCCCAAAAATAAGCAATCAAAAAAAACAGTGAAATATTATATATTGTGCCTTGGCTAATAAAATGTGTGTCCTTTTTTATTTTCAAAAATATTAACATAGCTGAAACTTCCCATATTTAAAAAATTAACATCATTTCCGATACGTCCATTTTGTTTTGGCAAAATACAATTGAATTTGAAAAAGTTAGACAATTTGATTTTCTTTATTGAAATAGTTTTTGGTGAATGTTTTACTGAAAAGATATTGAAATCCGGGGGAAAATCATACATTTTAATATAACATTTGTTTAATGAAATCCAAATCAAGTGTTAGCATACATTGAGCTAACTTTTGTAAAGGGAAATTCTAACATATCTTTAGGGAACATATTTTTTAACGAGCTATTTTATTGGGAAATCCATATTCCCAATTCATTCTTTAGAGTTCATTCAAAGATATGTCAAATTTTGAAACATGCAATTCCCACACTTTTAGATGATTTTGAAAAGATTCCTAATCAAAAGATTTTATTAGCTATTTCATTTTGTAATAAAGGAGTGTTTATAATGACCTCATGAACTTACAGTTAATTACTGAATACTATAGTAATATTTCTGAAGAATGTAATATTTATTAAAGGCCCACTATACTTAAGTTAGACGAAAAAAGAAATAAAAGTCTTAATGGCTGCACAAATACTTTTAATTGGTACTGTCGATAGAAGTGACAGATGACAAATACAGGGTGTCCCGAAAGTATGGCCCCCCCCCCCCCCTAGGCAGACATATTCAAGTGTCCTCATAGTATGTGTCGCCATAGTATGTGTCATATATCATTTTAAAGCTTATCCAAAGTTACATTGATTTGCCAAGTATCATGGTTTAACTCCCAAATGGGAAAAAGTTACAGTCACTTTAAAAGTCAGTGTTTTGTCAAAATAAAGTTAAATTTTACACCACATTACTAGTCAATGTGTCCCCCCTTGGCCATGTTAACAGCAGCAATTATTTTCAGATATGACCTTAAAAGCCCTTCAAATAGGGGTGTGGAATTTTATAACCCTCTTAAAACCTGTTAAGGGACTTTAGAAGAGTTTCCTTAGAGTTTCTACCCTCACCGTTCTCTTTTTCCAACTCAGTATCCCTTCGACCCGAAAAGAATTGCTGCTGTTAAGATGGCCCGGGAGGACACATTGACTTGTGATTTGGTGTAAAATTGAACTTAATTTTGACCAAACACTAAATTTTGAAATGCCTGTAACTTTTTCCCATTTGGGAGTTAAACCATGATACTTGGCAAATCAATGTAACTTTGGATAAGCTTTAAAATGATATATGACACATACTATGGCGACACTGGTATATGTCTGCCTAGGGGGGGCCCCATACTTTCGGGACACCCTGTAGTATTGTATTAATGGAATGGAACATGATATCCACTGTGCTCTGTAGGCTCTAAAGTTGAACAATTCTTTTGAATTTTAATGCCTTGCAACAAAGAACAACTAGTTCTTACTTGCAAGGCAACATTCCATAGCTCTATCACCGTTCCTCTGTTTTTTTTTATTATTAATGACTAGAATCATGTACGTTCTAAGAAATGAAAACATTTTAGATGAATTCGTTAATCATTATAAACTTTGATTTTTTTTGAGGAATGAACATTTTTTTAAGAATAATGTCAAATCCTTTTTTGGACACACAGTTTGAAACTTGTGCAAGGCTAATCCTCTCGTCTTTCTGGCAAATACACTCCCCTCCAAAAGTTTGGCAACCTTAGCCCCCTCCTCTTTATATTTGGATTTTTATTTACATAACCTGCGAGGAAAATACTTATAATATTGATGAAAGATGTAACTTGACTTCATTTCCAATGCCTCCAAATTTTCCCAATTTTTTTTCTGAAGGTTGGGTATCGATAGGGCAAACTTTTTGAACACACGTTTCTCTTACACCTGTCATCAAAAGATTCTGAAAATTTTACACATTGTCAATTTAATGGTCGTCTTTTGAATGGAAACAATATAATTTGAAATAGATATATACTTTTCTCTATATTGTTTTAGAAAACACATCGGACACTTCTTTTGTTCTTGGTATCATACATGTACAGTACGTCTAATGGCACGCCTTACACCATGCCATGTCGTCGGCATGCCGCCCGAAGTTCGTGGTCAACTCGAACGCTTTTCGTGGTCACCGCAGGCGCGTCACGAGTGCGCTTCAAGCTCATCGCGGGGTGATTTCATATGTACAGCGGAGTTGGTTTATTCGCGTAGCTTTCGCTCACCATTCGTTGCACGGACGCCACATTATAATTTCATGTAGTTAAGTGTTTTAGATTCCATTTACTTACCCGATGGGCGAATGGTAAATCAGGTTTAAAACCATTATTATCTTTCAACGTTAAATTACAAGATCTTTCATTTCCAGAGGATATTTAGCTCTCTTCTTCATCCCGATAAACATCTGATGAATGTAGATGTTTGCTCCCCATGTACATCACATTATATTATACAATTTATAAGACTCTAAATGAGTCGCTTTAGACGAAAACAAATAATTTAACAAAGTGTTTTTCAAAATGCTTTTTGAATCATCTGTTCCCATTTAACCACAGTACAGTATAAATGCACATATATTTATTGGATCCTGAATTTAATCAATGCGATGAATTTACATGAAATTAACAAATACTGCATGCGAACAATAACAACTTTTTACCAATGAAATTGTTTTCATCAAAAAGGCCACGCGTTAGCGTATCTACATCGTGAATTCTGAAAATTTCGTCCTGAAATGACAAATTAAACTCTTGCGCCAGGCTGGTTTTCGGGAGTGGTGACTTAGACAATGGCTTGAGACATCACCCGCACATGTCATGCAGTCTGTGTTAATGGTGAGAGGTCTCGGTCGAGGGGTCTGGGAGACAAGGTCTAGTAGCTAAGCTTCCCCAAACCACCGTCAGTATTTATGTGACAGGTAGATTGGTTGATCCTAGGATTAGGACATCTGTGTGTCATTTCCTGCAGTCTTCATTAATGTAGAGATAGGCTGGACATCCCGATCATTCAGTTGTGTTAGAGATAATTTTTGGTTAAGAAAAGTTGTGGTTTTGGTTTTGTGTTTAAGTTTCATGTATGGTGGTGTATCTTTTATGTTGATGGTAGATATATTGGAAGAGTTGTAAATTCGTTCGTCTTTAGTAGCATTTGGATGTGTGTAGTGTGAGTTTGTGGTAGGTTCCCCGTTTGTTAAAGGTTTGGGTGTTTAGTCTGGTGTTTGAGCTACGTGTTGGTCTGTGTGTAGTGGTGGTAGAATATCTTATTGTCAAGATATTAACTTGACTAGGGGATCTATTTCGACGTGCTGGGTTGCATTTTGGCTTTATCGAAGTTTTGCATTATTTTGGTTCGTAAATTTCGTGTATGTTTGGGGGCGTTTGT